TTCTTTCTAAGGACTAAGGAGAGGCCACGTCCAGCAATGGACTATTATAGGCTGTTGATGATGATGATCATTGCCGATTTGGACAAACAATTTTATCAGGATAAAAGTAGCTCTCTGTCTGGGTAACTGGCATTTCCTTTCTAGGTTACACCAGGTTCCCCGGCTACTGGTACTACTAAAGACGGAGGCGGCGCGGCCCCGTCCTGCTTTAAGTCGGTTCGGTTCGGTCGTCCGATATATATATATATATATTTTCTAATAAATCTATCTCGGTCCCATATTTAGGTCATATATTATTAACGATTAAATAAAAGACACAATTTATAATAATGGTAAAATAACCGTCACTAAATTTAATGGAAACGTATTTCTTTCTTTTATTATTCACTGTTAGTTTCTGTGCTCACAATCGCAGAATAACATAATAAATTTTGTCAGATTATTTTACATATTTAAATTTAACTTACTGTTAATTTTAAATTATGTAAATGTGCCAAAAATGTATAATTCATATGTATGTACCTAGATCAACTCCTTGGTGATTCTAACTTTAATGTAATATAATATTTAGTTTTTTAAACTAGACAATAGGGGTCAAACTGTTTCTAGTGCAATCGATGAGGATATATATATCGATATTCGGTTTTTCGTTTAGTAGCTTAGATACAATAATAAATCCGTGAATAGTATCGATAATTTATTTATATTTATATATTATATTATTTGTAGTTTGTTTTCTGTTCTGTGAAAGCATGACTAGTTTTGATTCCCGATGAAGTAATCTGTCGCGTGTTTTAAATCGCGCTGCTACAAATCGCTTTGCTCAGGCCATTGATAAAGGATATCTGCTATTGATAAAACCTTGAGTTTCCCCTAAACACTGAGATAAATTAAACCTTATGTCTATAATAACAGCTAATGAGATACTAATTTATGTAAAAAAGTAAATTAATTTAAACTCGGAAGCATGTTTACATTGAACAAAAAAAAAATACGTACGTCCGTAAAGTACGTGTCCGTCCTCACTCATGGTGATGCTGTCAGTTTTAGCAAAAATTCTACGGTGTATCTGTTTTAATTATATAAATCTAAATAAATTATTTATCGTCTGATAGCCTTGAAACATAATTAAGTTGTATCAAAACAAAGCACAACTAAAAATAATGTTACGTTTGTAAAAAATACGTTAATGAAACGAGGAAGTTATTATTTTACACTGTTATTTCTAAATATGTACCTATCCGTAATATATATGTTTACTTTATACCGCGGGTTCGCTCACTATATTGTAAAGTTTTAATCAACAATCACTCGGTAAGAGAATACTACTTATTTATTTGATGAAATCTTATTATGATGATTGATTGATTATGATACCCGTTTTGAATATTAGTTGGGTAAATGAAGGTTATTGATAATATTTGGTATACTCTGCATATTCTTTAGTAATTAATATTAAAATTAACATATGTAAAATATAAGAAGAATGCGGTTAGCGCCTTAAAAAAGGAAAATCTACAGTTTATTAAATGTACGACTTTTGTCCTACATTCTATAAACTGTAAACCATAAATTCCGCACAATGGACGTTACTTTGTGGTGACGTGTCGTATCGTTTTTTAAAGAAAAACTTGCCTTATTATTTGATGTGCATACCGAAAAGATTGCTTTTTTGTATAAATATTATCGTTAGTATTTGTTTCTAAGGGAAGTTAATGCGGCTGGTAAATCCACCCGGATACGGTTTGAAAATACTTATGACAACAACAGGGAAAATGTAAAAATGTGGACTTAAATATGTGTAATTGTTTCGATTCTTAGAATGGAACGTGACTAATTTCGTGATTAGATGTCACAGAATTCTCACACTGAAACTGTAAACTAAAACATAATGGGCTACTTATTTGCGTACGTAATTTTCCATTTCCACGTATTATTTTAATGTCACGTCTATATAATGCTTTTATATAATATTTTTGTGTTTTTTATCATACAGACTATCATCTTCGGATTTAAACAAATCTGAAAATGATTGGACAATGTGTACCTCAGATGTTTTTTGTCTCAGAACTTTTTTATTTAATCTGACCCGGATTGGGAGCCAAAATTGAACGGTAGAAGTATTTAACATAGAAATTATAACTAATTATTAATTGCACTGCACAGCATTAAGTCGAGGTTGCCCATTTCCATTCTTACAATATCAGTCTTGTCCTATTAAATACATAACAGATAACTTGAGCGGAACTGTCGCTTTCTAGTTAAGTTAAGTTTTTTTTCTTAATAATAAGGTATTGTTTAAAATAGCTAAGTAAATAACCTTTTTTCTTGTAATATTTAAAAGATATATCCAACGAAGAGCGACTCGAATCGTCGATAGCTAAAAGATTTGCGATCGGCTCGATTCGTTGGCGTTACGTAGAGATGTACGAGTAGCTTCACTCTGCATTCTCTATCGCATATATCATGGATAGTGCTCCGAGGAATTGTTCGGACTAATACCAGCCGCAAATTCCCGCCATCGTTCCACAGGGCAAAATTTTCATCCTTATTACCTGGATAGTTGGCGCTCAACTACTGTGCGCTTTTCGAGACACTTTTTGCCCCGCACAACCAATCTGTGGAACGGGTTATCATCTGCGGTATTTCCGGACCGAAACGACCTTCAAACCTTCAAGAAAAGAGCGTACTCCTTCCTAAAAGGCCGGTAACGCGTATGTGACTCCTTAGTTGCAGACGTTCAACGGCGGCGATGGTCACTCTCCATCAGGTGACCCGTCTGCTCATCTGCCCCCTCTAAAATAAAACAAATAACAAGAAATCCTTCTTAAAAAAAAATTGAACCGACTTCAAACAATACTAACAAAGAGAACTAAAAACTAAACAGCAATTGTTGTTTGTTTTGCTGGCATTTTTTGAAGAGTTCCGTTGTCTGTCGCCGAAACTCATCATCAGATCTTTATGAAATTTAAATGGGACTATTTCGGAATAAACCCCTTTTGAACAAAAATAATTTTGAAAATCCGTCTATATATTACGGATTACGGAGTTATGCCCAAACATACATAAAAAATATATATAAACAACCGAATTGATAACCTTCTCCTTCTTGAAAACGGTTAAAAAGACAACTCCCGCACTAGGAATAAATCCTGTATCAGGGGGGACTTTACGAACATGTAACGGACACAAATAACACCCAACTCAAGACTCAGAACAACAATTGGGGATCGAACCCACAACACTCAGCGTAGTGGGAAGCGGCGAGGTGACCGTTTAAACCACCCCGCCATCCGTGCAGTCAATTAGTCGTTAGTTGTTACTAACGACAACTTAAACGTAAAAAAATAGCTATATGCACATACATATACATATACCTGTGTACTCGTATAAGAATGTTGGCAATTATGGTTGATAGACAGTTTTTTGGCATTAAAAAATTATGTATATACTCGTAGTAGTCAACAATTATGTTATAGATTTAATCTTTTGTAGCGTGAATTCACGATTTTATTCATGTCGGTATCAAATTTTAACGGCCTTTAGGTATTATAACTTTTATTTAGCTCGGTCTCGTGAATAACATCTCTTGTTTCCATATTAAATTTTATGAGCAAATCTTTTAAGTTCATGACAAATTAATTCTGGTGATATGTTATATTGCTCACTGGGCGTTGCCTTGACCTCTAAAAGGATGCACTCGGCTCTTTGCGGTTTCATTAAAATGTGCATTTTGTTGCGTATAGGCATGCAACCTTCGTTGTTTTGTATGTTGAGTCACAGTAATAAAAACTGTGTTGATTTATTTTGGAATTTTACATCGTAAAAATGGTATGGATTTTGGGTTTCGTTTTCTCAGTTATAATAATAATAATAAAATTCTTTATTGCCACAAATTAGTATATACAGGTTAGACATTTCGAGATTATAGTCCAAACACAAATAACATTATATAGTGTTCTGCTGGTACTTAAAATAGGATAACCTGTGCTATAAGTACCAGCAACCTCTGCAGTATCACTAAAATACATTTTTAGCTGGTTATAAAACAATAAAGATGCAATAAGAACAATCTAAACTACAATAGCTTGAAAGCAAGAAAAACATGCAATTAACTTAGGTATGTGTGTGTGTGTGTGTGTGTGTGTGTGTGTGTGTGTGCGTGTGCGTGTGTATGTGTATGTGCACGTGTTGCGTGTGTATGTGTATGCGTGTGTTGGGTTCCGTGATCCGTTAATTTGAAAGTTATTTTGAAACATACTTACAGCTGCTGCATATTTAATTTTGAAAATTTACTGTGATCAAGTTGACAGACAAGTTTAGTACTTAAGAACAATTACAGTTTTTTTATACAAGTCGCTATTTTTATATTTTCTTTGTACACCGCTAAGAGCCTTAGTGACCAAGGGTATTTAACCCTTGGTCACTAAGGCTCTTCGTTGGGTTGTTTACAACAAAAAAAGTATATGAATATTTATATCAGTAGCCAGTACCCATAGTACAAGCTATGCTTAGTATCGGACTAGATGGCGTAGTTATAGTCTCCAATGATTGGAGAAACCACTATGGCGATATCAACCGACAACCTAAAAATTACATCTATATGATAACATTTGGCGTTGACTTTAAAAGGGAAGACACATAACATTTCTTTATCATCATCCACATCCTCCGAGTATTTTCCCAAACTAGGTTGTGGTCGGCTTTCAATCAATTACGAAAACGCTGAACTTCGATCTTTACGTGGCGCGACTGCCATCACACCTCCACAATCCAAGTACTAAGCGATAACGAAATTCTGTAGATAGACTGTTGTCAGACTGTTGAGGGTTCTAACTACCCTTCTCTCTACCTACTACCTTAACGTGCTCTCCGAGGCACGGAGGAATCTCAATGTGTGAACAATGATCATCCATAGACTGACCTGGCTATGATTGCTTAACTGTAACACATAAAATTTCTTAATGATAAATATTAATTACAATTGTGTCTCTTTACAGCGGAGTTTGATAACACTCACTCCATCCCACCGCCGCCAGTCACTGAAGTGTGTTTGGGCTGCATCTGCCAGGCCGCGTCAGGGTGTACGCAGAGCTTAGGGTGCGAGGACGGTGCCTGTGGATTGTTCCGGATCACTCATCCTTACTGGACTGACGCTGGCAAACCAACAGTAGACGGAGCGCCTGTAGATTCCCCTAATGGTAAATGGCGAAATTTTGAAAGTAGTATATTTTTTTATATTATAGGAGGCAAGCGAACAGACTTGTCATCTGATGGATCGGTTAACTGTTTTTAACCAGTATTAGTATCCTTGTAACGAATTTTACATTCCTCCGATACAAAGGTAACATGCTCCAATGATGTGATGATGGGTGCCAAACGATGGATGATGGGCAGTTGGAAGTTGTTCGTTCTAGGATCAGTAGTTACTATATAGTTCGGTTGATTTCACTAGATGACGCTGAAAAATGTTTTTGAATCTATCTAGTTCATTAAATAAAACATTTTTTTATTTACTCATCTGCATACAGCCGTTAGATCTCGAACTCAGCGAAACCTGTTAAAGGTAAACAAACTGGTGATAAACCTACTTTTATAAATTACTACATAAATACATATTATAGATAGATTACATCTAAACAGAACAAATGATCGTGATAACCACATTTTTATTTGTTCTGTGTTGGAATCAAACCAACTAGCTCTTGCTAATCAGTCAGAATCACTAACCACAAGATCCACAGGCCCGTCATCGAGAATCACCTACATCTCCTGTCTCATAAATGTTGTCCAAAATCTATTCCAAAATAAATTATTATAATAAATATTAATGAATGGCTAAATGTTTCAGCTTTCAACAACTGCGCGTTTGACCCGTACTGCGCAGCCCGCACAGTGCAGGGATACATGAGGAAATTCGCTCAGGTAACATATTTTAAAACTGGTTTATCACTAATCCCTCACTTTGAATCTAAAATGTTTTCAAAATCAAAGTATTACGTTACTATATTAAGTGCGAAGACAACATTTTAAAGATTTTGGGGGTAAACCCAAAGAAAAACAAGTTTCATTTAATACATTCCGTGGCGCAATGATGATACTTTTGTATGTTTGAACAAAAGCATTAGAAAAAGTAATACTTAATCTATGGATTTATTAAAGAAAGAGAGTAGAAGCCTAGTGTGTCAGGTAACTATTGATTCCGTCGATTGGAACGAATTTTATTATTTCGAATATTCCAAATAGTATTTGCAATGTCTTTTTTTGACATAATATTTATTATTATAAACTCTCTCTATCTCAAAACTGTCTAACACAATAGGAATTTAGAAAACGTACTTGTACAACGTGAGATAAGTATTTTCAAACAAAGAATTAACGAAAAAACAATTCACATTGTTTAGTTTTTTACATCGCCTCGTTTGTCATCATCATCATCGTCATTTAATATAAGATATGTTGTCAAAATTTTTGCATAATAAAATAATTCGTAGTCCTCAATAAAAGAAGCCAAGACAAGCTTCTCGAACTTGTTTATAAAAAAGTATTTTATATTAGCATACATTTAATTCAATTACGGTCCTTTTTATGGCGGTACATCGTATCGTATATGTAGGTGAGCCCACATGGCACAACTCTTTGTGTGATCTACAAAATGTTGTTCTGAGTCTTGATGTTGTGTACGTTTCAATAATGTGTGTAAAGTCTCCCGCGACACAGGAGATATTCCTAATGCGGGAGTTGTCTTTTATAAAAGAAAGAAAAAGAAAAAAATAACCTGTTATTTCAACGGTAGAGATCTTGTCAGTCTATTCTCCTCTCCCAGAGCTTTAAAATTCGTGTATAAAGAAAATACTTAACTAAAACTTTTGTTATTTCAGGACTGCAACGGTGACGGACAAGTGAACTGCTATGACTACATGGCAATTCACAAGCGGGGAGGATACGGCTGTGTCGGAGACCTGCCATTCCAATACGTAAGCGTCTTTAACCAATGCGTGGCTGCCGTCGCTGCTCAACAGCGCGAGTACCATCAGGGCTAAACATCCTGATACGTATGCGGCTCCTGAATTACATGACAAGAATACCTAAACATATACATAACAATCCAAATACTTGTGTAACAAAACGTTAAAGTACACTGATGTAAGCGTTACTAAACTATCACAAAAGAGTTCATATTTACGAAGAGAATCTGTGAAGAAGATGAAAAATGTTACATCTATCTTCTCTGCAACCCAACCAATTTGAGTAGACAAAAACTCAAACAAAATATGTCATTCCAGCGGCTGTTCTTAGAAAGAGACAAAATCCAATCTTTATGAACTTTTAACGACTCTCACCTACATTCATCGCCATCTAGTGGAAACAGACGGAACTTAGTCAAAGTTCTGTACTAAGCCGCTAGTGTTTAAGCGGCTAATCATAGACAATAATCACATCATCAATCAAGCAAAAGCTAATGTTAAATTGAAAATATGTAACTAACGAAACGTGCGAAACTAATAAAGTAAATCGAGGAGCCTCACATTAGTTTTAAGTATGTTTAAATATAAGACTTGTATTTATATTTTTTTAATAAAACAATGAAAACGAACTAGTCTTCAGGATTAATATTTTGTACGTATAATTTCTTTCCCTTGCCATTAAATAGTATATTTTATTTTAAGTTACCCTCCATGAATGCAAAAGACACTGAACAATGATGCTGTAAAACAACAGAGGGCCTAGTACGAGTTTAATTCACATCTATTCGATCGTCAGGGTGAGCGCGTTCGGTGTTGTGATTGACCCACGGTAAACTCTTCACCATCTGCTATCCTGATCCATACCATACGCTAACGCGATCAAGAGCGAGTTGATGTGAACTCCACACTAGGTCCTCAATTGATCTAAACCATTAAACCGTGACCTCACTCGTTTACAAAGTGGACGGAAGATCTCGCAAATTACGGAGTTAGGACTGGGCACTTTCCGTCACCTACTTACCCTTATTAGAGTTGATTGTTTTCCAAATACTTTTAAGACTTGAACGCAACAACAACTTTTAACTAGCCTATATGTTTAAAATTTAATTCAAAAGAAAACTATCACCTGTTATGCTTTCAGAAACACGTCTTCACCTCCCATTTTCAAATCGTAGACGCATCTCAGGCACCATTTTACCCGGCTTCTTTTTCCGTTTCGGAGAGCAGACGAGATATCCAACGACAAAAAGCTTCATCATTCTAAGATATCCATGTAATGTGGTGTGAACACTAACCGAAGCGATGCCTAATATTTTCTCTATGTCCCTGTGTGTAATTCGTGGGACATCTCGCACAAGCATTTCAGTAGTTCACACGTTTTCAGCAGTAACCGCTGTTGGCGCGTCCACTTCTATCATCATCTTCAAGGCTAGTTTTACCCATTTAAATTCCTTAAACCATCTAAAAATGGATGCCCGAGAAGGAGCAAACTCTCCTTAAACTGATTTTAAACCTTCTAAGCTTGAACCATTAGATAAAACACATTTAAAGTCTTAATATATCATGGCACGCAAACATTCACGTTTAAGCTCCATTGTAGCAGACGAAAAAGCGGAAAATATTGACAGTATTACACTTCTAATTTCTTTATTATTTTTTATAGTTCTTAACAACCTTTAATAGTTCACTGCTGGACATAGGCCTCTAGTTAGAAAGGAGGTTTTAGCCTACTGTACCACTCTGGAAAAGACAGGTTGGTATAGGGTTTGTAGTGTTCCGCGAGGGGGCGGCGTCCGCGTGTGCCGGACGCCGCCTAAAGAGAGGGTCCACTGAGACGGAGCCCGCGCCAGGAGCGGGCCGGCGCTGGGAGGGGTCCAGAAGGAGATAGCTACCTGGACCCCTCCTAAACTGGAAGCGCAAAGAGGGCACACCGTGTGGTTTTAGTCGGTTCGAGTCCGACACACCGCCCCGCCGAACGAGAGCCCCGGCGGGGTGACGGTCCGAGGGGATTTCCACACGTAAAAAAAAAAAAAAAAAAAAAAAAAAAGGGTTTGTAGTGTTCCTCGGTTCGGGCCCAGATGAAATATCTGGGCCTGATCCTCGACGGGAGGTGGCTCTTCGACGAGCACTTCCGACAGCTTGCTCCAAAGCTGGTCGGCGCTGCGTCTGCCCTAGGGCGACTTTTGCCCAATTTGGGTGGACCCAGCGTCGCGACAAGACGGCTGTACACGGGGGTTGTCCGGTCAATGGCACTATACGGTGCACCGGTGTGGGCGGCGGCTCTGACCGCCCAGAATAGGGCAAGCCTCTGGCGCCCTCAGAGGGTAATGGCGGTCAGAGCCATACGCGGTTACCGCACCGTTTCGACGGAGGTGGCATGCGCGTTGGCCGGAACTCCCCCGTGGGATTTGGAGGCGGAAGTGCTCGCCGAAGTTTATCGGCGAGTGGCTGGCTGAGGATGTGCGCGAGTGGCGCGAAGCCGCTTGCCGAGCCACGATGGCTCGTTGGTCGTTCCGGCTGGAGACTCCACGCGCTGGCTTCGCCTCCGTGGAGGCTCTCCAGCCGGTCATCGCCGAGTGGGCAGGGCGGCAGCACGGGACCCTTACCTTCCGGCTGACGCAGGTGCTTCCCGGGCACGGTTGCTTCGGAAAGCCTGCATTCGGTCGCTAGGAGGGAACTGAGTCCCGCCTGCCACCACTGCAACTGCAGTGAGGACTCGGCCCATCACACGCTGGCGGTCTGCCCCGCATGGGCGACGCAGCGCCGGGCCCTCTCTGCAGTCATCGGAGTGGATCTCTCGCTACCGGCCGTAGTACGCTCCATGGCCGGTAGCGACAGTTGTTTTACCGCGGTCGCAACCTTCTGCGAGGAAGTAATCTCGCAAAAGGAGGCGGCGGAGAAGGCCCGGGAGGACGACCTCCACTCGGACCCGATCCGCCGTCGGCGAACCGGGCGGCGGAGGCGCGCCTATCACCGCCTCATGCCGCCCTGAGTGTGGCCGCGGGTGGACGGGGTGGGTTTCCCCTCCACCCGCATTAGTTTGGCCAGCCGCGAGGGGGCGGCGTCCGCGTGTGCCGGACGTCGCCTAAAGAGAGGAAAATTTTGAGACGGGGCCCGCAACAGGAGCGGGCCGGCGCTAGGAGGGGTCCGGATGTCTTAATAACAGCTGTTTCCGGATCCCTCCTATTACAGTGAGGCACACCGTGTGGTTTTAGTCGGTCCGAGTCCGACACACCACCCCGCCGCAAACCCCGGTGGGGTGACAGTCGGAGGGGATTTCCACACGTTAAAAAAAAGAGTTTGTAGTGTTCCTTCTCTTTGCAGTTTTTTATTGCTGTTTTATTGCTGTTACTGTTAAATGGCCTTTTGTGTGCGATTTAAAAAAAATGCCTTTTAATAATATATGACACAGATGCATTCTATTTTCAGATTTCGAGCATCTCAAAACTTATACAGGTAGTAAAAGACGATTTCAAACTATTTTATTTTTTCTCAGACATAAAGATAGAATTTACTTTAGACTATACCACAGGAAATCTTTATGTGCAACTACTGGGTACACTACAGAAATACGAAAAACTTTATTCCGTCAGTCACAAATACCAATTTCAAAATACCGATTTTCATAATTCCAAATGGGTCAAAATTCCTAATATAACAACTCCGATTGATCATTCATCCTATTTTTATAATTCAAAAATTTCAATATGCCTGATATTTATAATTACTATGCTCAAAATACCGAGTTTCAATAACAAAAAGTTCGACTTAATGATAATTCGAAACATCAAAAATTCAAATGCAATGCATATCAAAGTGCAATGTTTGTTTCCTTTTAAAAATATTTTCTTCCACTGGTCACAGTTCTAACCTTTTTTTTTTTTTTTTTTTTAACGTGTGGAAATCCCTCGGACCGTCACAGTTCTAACCTTTTTTTTTTTTTTTTTTTTTTTTACGTGTGGAAATCCCCTCGGACCGTCACCCCGCCGGGGCTCTCGTTCGGCGGGGCGGTGTGTCGGACTCGAACCGACTAAAACCACACGGTGTGCCCTCTTTGCGCTTCCAGTTTAGGAGGGGTCCAGGTAGCTATCTCCTTCTGGACCCCTCCCAGCGCCGGCCCGCTCCTGATGCGGGCTCCGTCTCAGTGGACCCTCTCTTTAGGCGACGTCCGGCACACGCGGACGCCGCCCCCCGCGGCTGGCCAAACTAATGCGGGTGGAGGGGAGAACCCATCCCGTCCACCCGCGGCCACACTCAGGGCGGCATGAGGCGCAGGTAAGCGCGCCTCCGCCGCCCGGTTCGCCGGCGGCGGATCAGGTCCGAGTGGAGGTCGTCCTCCCGGGCCTTCTCCGCCACCTCCTTCTGCGAGATTACCTCCTCGCAGAAGGTTGCGACCGCGGTAAAACAACTGTCGCTACCGGCCATGGAGCGAATTACGGCCGGTAGCGAGAGATCTGCTCCGATGACTGCAGTGAGGGCCCGGCGCTGCGTCGCCCATGCGGGGCAAACCGCCAGCGTGTGCTGGGCCGAATCCTCACTGCAGTCGCAGTGGTGGCAGGCGGGACTCGATTCCCTCCTAGCGACCGAGTACAGGTACTTTCCGAAGCAACCGTGCCCGGAAAGCACCTGCGTCAGCCGGAAGGAAAGGGTCCCGTGCTGCCGCCCTGCCCACTCGGCGATGACCGGCTGGAGAGCCTCCACGGCGGCGAAGCCAGCGCGTGGAGTCTCCAGCCGGAACGACCATCTGACCATGGTGGCTCGGCGAGCGGCTTCGCGCCACTCGCGCACGTCTTCGGGCGGAGGGCGAAATCCGCTCTCCGCCCGGAATTCAGCCACTCGCCGATAAACTTCGGCGAGCACTTCCGCCTCCAAATCCCACGGGGGTGTTCCGGCCAAGGCGCAAGCCGCCTCGGTGGACACCGTGCGGTATCCGCGTATGGCTCTGACCGCCAATATCCTCTGGGGGCGCCAGAGGCGCGCCCTATTCGGGGCGGTCAGAGTCACAGTTCTAACCTAACCTAACCCAAATGATTTACCAACAATAGAGGGGACCTGGCGTTAATCGCTATTGTTCTATAATAACCTAACCCAAAGAGTTCAATATCAGTAGATGGTATCCGAAGCAGGTATATTAATTACAAAGTTGACGTTTTTAAATTACATTAAACGTTACTTATAGATTTTGAATTTAAAGGCGTAACTAAATATTGTTATAACTAACTGAATCAAAATCCAAATTTTAGCAGTTTATTCGAAGTATTGAAAGTCGGCATGTCGTTTTTCGGACCAAGAACTCATCGAGCATTTAATTCTTCGAACGCATAAATATCGGGAAACAAACCAATTGCATTTACGACTTTTGGTAAAATAAATTTTGTGAATTTTAATAAAAGGTTTTATAATTCTTAGATATTATGAAATCGGAACATCGAAAGTCGGAATAAAATATTTTGGAGAATTTGGCTGTTCCCGCAACTAGCTAATTTGAGGAATCTTGTAAGGTTTAGCCAGCGTTTGCAATGTAAGCGCACAAAAACATGTTTTTTACGACAAATATTTGAAATGCTCGGATATTCTCTACTATAATATGCATGTATTATCAAATAAACCTTCCTCTTGAATCACTCTCTGTATTGTTGTAACCAAATTAAAATCCGTTGCTTAGTTTAGAAGATCTAAGCGATACTACTATACTATACAAGGTGTAAGGGACATCGTACCGAATACTGAAATAGTGTACTCAGACCATGATTCTGAGTCGAAAATCATTGTTTTTTTTTTTCCATTTTTCTGGTTAAAAATGATATCACAATGAGTACACAGAATATTTTAACTAAAACAATTTAATAAATACCAAAAAAACTGCAATGTAATTCGGCAAACAGCCGAAGCGCGCGGAGCCTCCTCTCCAGCCGCCATATTGTGTTAGTGTGCGTAGACTGTTTGCACGGAATACACATGTTGTTATTACTTTGTGTAATACCTACGGGAAATGACCCTAACCTTTGACAGCTAATTGCATAAAAAGTTTAATTTGCCGGCAGAGACTTCCAATGATTTTCGACTCAGAATGATGGTCTGAATACACTATTTCAGTATTCGTTACGACGTCCCTTACACCGTGTATACTAGCGTACTATAGCAAGAAGTCTCGGAAAAATAGTCTTGTTACACATTTTTCAGTCTCGCTCCCATCCACACAGCCGTGTAACACGCGATAAGGACTTCGTTCCAAATACCTCTTATGACAAATGTTGGAGATGAACTCTAGAGCAGTCAATTCACGGTCAATAATGGGGATCCCGTTAATAGTTAAATCATACTTCCTGCTTTACAATAAACAGGGAAGTCATTCCCAAACTATAAATGGATGTTGCAGGGCACTAAGAGAACTAGATATTATGGAGAATTCCTAAAATGTTCAATATGGACCGTTTCAAACTGAATGCGTTAAGCTCAGCCGTACCCCATGTTTAAAAGACGTCTCTACCTAGAAAAACAAATGCATACGTAGGCCTGGTTAATGATAAGAAGTGATATTATAAACTTTCTGCTTTAATTTCATGATGCAATTTTCTGCTTCGGATGTTAAACTATAAGTGGCAATTGAGTAAACCAGAACTTTTTTTCTTTTAAAAATACAACTCCTGCACTAGGAATATAAACACCAAAAGCAACAAGTTATTTGAAAACATGTACTAAACTTTTACATCATTCAACGAATTGCCCAATTTTTTTCTATCTGTAGTTATCATACCGTCTGTGTGGTGACGGATTAAGATTACAGAGTGTCACCACCCTTATTCATCGCGTACTTATATTTAATATTTTTATCAATAGGTACCTTGATACCAAACAAGTTATTTGTTTAATTACTATTGATATGTTCTGCTATTTAAAAACCACTATTATAAATAATTCTTTGAGATGTGATAACTAAAAATACAAAATACTTGGTTGCGTAGGTATTGTCTTTCTAATTTTGTAACAATTAATTATTCCTTTAACCTTTTAGAAATGAAACCAGTGTGGTTGAGAAGATAACGAACACATAATTATTAAATATAAATAAGTATCTATGGGTCACGTTAAAAATACATGTAAGAGAAATGATAAAATTATCTTATCTATAATGCAATAAATTAGAAAGCAGCTTCCGTGGCCGTACGTCACACAAAGTAAGAATTTAAAGAATTGACTTTCTAACACAATAAAATTAAAATTCATTTCAGATTGACCTTTAATTTGTTACAGGTACATTGACATAATAATTTTTGATATAACATCAGTTATTACAACAAGATATATAAAATAATATACAGCCGTAGCAATGCGTAGCTTTTTCAAAATATAATTCAAAAATGATGCCTTAGAACACTGGTTCCTAAACTTTGTGATCTACGGCTTAGCCAAGGAAACTGATGTTACCCAAATGCTAAACAATAAATATAAAAAAAATTAAACCAAAATTAAATAAAAAAAATTTTTTTTTTAAACCATATGTTTTTTTCTTGTTTCAGGAGTTCAATACCCCTAAGTTATGTTTATTCGTTTAAAACTCCCTATGTTAATTCTAAATTATATGATAGTTATGGCTTACTCTAGATATTGTCAAAATAACCCAATTTCCCTATTTGGCTGTGACAAATATACCCTGTTCCTCTTCGGTATATAAGACATGGGAACATATTTTAGGTCGCAGTGTCACTTGTTAAGTTCAGCGAAGTGGGTAAGATAATTTATTGTCTTATCTTTCATTGACGTATTGGAATACCTACACAATTTCTCTGCACGAAGTTTACAAGTAAAAACAAATTATTTTTTGGATCGTAATGTAAATGTCTTTCATCGAATGAGGGTATTAGGGATTTCGCAAGTATCAAATAGACACAAAGACTGTTTTCATTCATTCAGAATCAGCCTCGCGAGGCATTTGCCGCGCGAAGCTGCTCAGCCTGTATGGACCTGCCTCTGCCGAGGCAAGCGCCCGAGCCACCGAGTGTCGGTTTTCTGTTTTGCTCAAAGGCGCCTCGGTTGTTTGCCGCGCGCACTCTGGACGTTTTTTCGTGCCTCGCTCGAGCGTAACAATCTTGAAATGTGAAAGAGATACTGCATTTGCCTTGCACTTGCCTTTATGTCTTAATCCCAACTGACCGAATGAACAAATGGCTCGGGCTTGCCGCGTTCGCTCGGGAACAGTTTCCTCGGACGGCAAATGCCTCGCGAGTTTGCTCGCTTTCTGTGGACCCAGCTATTGGCAAACGGGACGGAGATGGCACTAGTTAGAAAAGGCCAGGTTTGCGTACCCGTGTTCTGGCACCATTAGCACAGGCACAACTATAATGTAATTTGTAATAATAATATACTAGCTGTACCCTACCATGCTTCGCTGTGGCGTATGCACGCAGCATTGATGAGAAATGAGGCACAAAACTAACGCAAAAATAGATGAAAACAATCTTTGTGTCAATAAAAATAAAAAAACTTTTTAAGTTTTTGTAGCGTTCACAAACCATTTTAACATTTATATTATTAGATAGTTTGTATTATTAGAAAAAAAACAATGATCTAGGTATATGTAAGTAAATAAATAAATTTCAGATTAAAGTTACAAATATTTATGTATAACTATTGAGGTCACCGAGCCTTTTTTATCAGGGACAGCTGTCTTTGATAAAATAAGTGGAAATAATGTATTTTACATTATCTATGACATTCTAACAAGTATTTTAAAAGGCGTTTAATGAAATCATTCTACTTGTACTCTTTGGGAGTGAAATGGGCACTCCCAAAGAGTAGAATTGAAAAAAATGTTGCCTTTTTTTCATCCTGGATAAGATGAAGGAGGAGGAATGGAGGATGAAAATATTATAATCAATTATAATCAACAACTTATAAAATATAATGTTTCAAAGCTCGATTTGATCGAAACTATTGTTTTCCAACTGCTTAATGTTTCATGTCATAACTACACACTAGCTCATGGCTCGAGCTTGAGCTCAATTCACACTACAGAGAGAATACCTTCAGAAGGTCACTACCTGCTTTTCCTATATGACATTAATTACAATGTGTTAAAAAAAACCTTTCTTTAGAATAAACATGAAGCTGCTTGCAATTCTCTTAGTAATTGCTTTAGCTGCAGTTGAAGGACATCCTAACATTCCCCGGACACAAGCGTGCGGATTTCATCTGCATATGCGTTTAACAGCTGCCTGCAGACATGAAATGAGTTTAAGAAATTTGAGGCAATACCTAGGTGAGTACTATTTCTATTTATTGCAAATACGAGTGTGATAATTACGGTTTCATTGTACAATGCGGAAACCAATAATATTCGTAATATACGGTCTACGTTTTCTTCGAAATCGTACCAGTGGTTAGCCAAAAGAATGGGACCTCTATTAAGCTCCGTTCTCCATGTGGCGACCGCGCGGCCATAGCATTAAAGTCCTGTAGGTCGTGAAGTCCAAACATTAGGGTTTTTTCATACTGTCTACATTTTCTTCGCAATCGTATCGGTAGTTAGCAAAAACAGTGGGACCTCTTCTAAGCTCAGTTTAAGAGAACTGTGTGGCCGCGTGGTTCCCCATGTTTCGACTGCGCGGCCATTGTTAAACCCTTACAACTTTCTGAATATTGGCTTTACGAATTTGCGGCTTTCATTGTGAGTGTTTTACAAATCTCTTCGTAATGTTGACGTAGTCGTTTTTATTCTACGACACTGTAGCAGTCGAAACGGACACGTTTTGGCGTGATTGAGTAAAAAACATACTTACGTTTTTAGAGTTAAAAAATAGGTGTGTAATTATTATTATTTTTGATAGAGAATATTATTATACTGAGAGTTTGAAATCGATAAGTTAAAAAAACAGTTTTAGAAAATTTGTAACAAAGTTTATACGATACTTATGATTCGATACCGTGTCGTAATGATTACTCTTTAAATATAATTAAGTTTGAATGGAAAATTATATATAGATCAATAATTTCAAATTGTTGTCTAATATTTTTACAAATATGTCTTTTTTACAGAAAGCCAGATGCCTTCTCTACATGATAAATTCGAAGCTGATCGCCTGGCTGTCCTAGCTAAAATCCCTAAGAGTCCTCCCGAGGAGAACGTTGTTGAAGCGTGCTGCTACAGAAGTTGCACTTATGCTGAGTTGGTCAGTTACTGTTACGTAGTGAACGGCATTTCCTAGCAATATCGATGTTCCTAATGTTTTTTAATATACTGTATCAATTTCTGAACCATTATTTATTTCTACGACTATAAAAAAAATGGAGAAATCTTCTTTAAATGTCTACATAATTGTTCGTACCTTTGTCACATTTTATAAAAAATCCAAATATTTTAAACCGTCAGATTTAAAATACCCTGCAAAATTATAATAATAATATTAACTTTTGAAAAGAAAAACACAAAAAAATATTTGGCGTTATCTAACGAAATTGTCGATATTTGGAATGTTGGTTGTTCCAATAGTCATATCTGCACATGGATTGATAGCCAAGAGCCTCGACCAACACCTTAAGAGGTTCATGTTAGACGGCTGGATCAAGGGTCTGATGCAGAAGGCAGTTCTCCTTGACACCGCCCGTATAGTGAGGCGGTTCTTATCTTTGGAGTCCTCACCGGTGTCTGGGTTATATTGGTGGTGTACTATTTTTTATATGTATTTTTTAATTTTTTTGATAAAGTGTATGTTTAAAAATATAATTCATAGGTTAAGACTAAGGTTTCTGTACACCTATCACCAGTTGAAAATGAATCCAGTCCATCCAAAGATTGCCTGGAAGAAATTGCACTAAGCGATAAGGCCACCCTTTGTACATTACATCTGTTGTTAATTACTTTATAATGTCTGTAAAACCCTGGTGTACAAATAAAGTATTTATCTATCTTTTTTTTTTTCTTCTTTTTTATAAGACAACTCCCGCACTAGGAATAAATCCTGTGTCGCGGGGGACTTTACAAACATACATGAAACGAACACAAAGTACACCCAGACTCAGAACAACAATTTGTGGATCACACAAAGTGTTGTTCCATGTGGGGTTTGAACCCACAACACTCGGCGTAATAGGAAGCGGCGTGGCGACCGCTTAAACCACTACGCCATCCGTGCAGCCAAAAATCTATCTGTAACTTTTATTTTTGTTCTCACACAGACTGATACATACTGCTTAAACTAGCAGTAGTAATTAGAATAATTACATTATATCTATAAATGAAACTGGTGTCTGTACTAGGTGACCTGTATGACAGATTATCAGTCTCTCCAGACTCTGTACAGTTGGATTCAGGTAAGTAACATTTTAATGAGATGCATTAGATGTGTGTAAAATCATTGGGTTGAGAAGATTGCATTGTTGTACGTGTGTGTTCGCGTGTGTGTGTTAAAATTAGCTTTGGGCACATTGGGCTCACACGACCGGAGTGATGACATAGTCTTACCTATCTTAACCATCAGGTGACTCAACTACTTCTTTGCCCCACTATATCATAAAAAGTGGTTTACCGTAGGTCTAGAAAATGGCAATCAAAGGCTGGCGGCGAAATTTAAGTCTTGAGTTTACAGAGGTCATTGGACGTTAATTACACGATGTATTATTATTATCAATCTAGTATTGTAGTCAATTTAAGGAAACTCCATTCTTTTGAGCTTTGGTCAGGTGTAAAAAAGGCCTTTGAGGAATCTTTCAGGAAAAGTCTAATATGTATGTTAACTCATTTGATTATCCATAGTCACAATGAACGTTTTATAAATTTATCGTTTAAAAAAGTAAATAATAGGTCTTTACCTATGAAATTGCCGTTTTGTATGCAATAAGTGAAAGAAATGAAAACTTATTTTTTCAAACTTTTTTATTTCTGTTATTCGAAGTAATCACCCATGCAATCGACGCATCTTTGCCAACGCATTGGCAGTTTATTGATGCTCTTCTTGTAAAAATCAGCTGGACGGGATGCCTCCCGTCAAACTCTTGAAAGGCATTTTGTACTGCCTCTCGGGAATTGAATTTTTTACCCACTAAAAAGTTGTCTAAATTTTAGAAAAAGTAATAGTCGGTAGGTGCAAGGTCTGGTGAGTACCAAGCAACCAACTTTGGTCAATCGGTCGTCCCCACTGCTCCTTCACAACAACGCGCGACCCTATACTGCGCAACAGACAGTCTCCAAGCTGCAAGAGCTGGGGTTGGAAGCTCTCCCTCATCCGCCATACTCACCTCATTTATAATAATTAACACTCAAGTGAATCAATGAATCAAAGTTCACATAAAGCGGAACGTATAGAGTAGATACCCACACATTATAGTTAAAAATCTATTAAAACACTAATAACAAATTATATGTATCTACTTGTAAAAAAAGCTCACCTAGGAAGTGGTGATAAAAAGAGGATCAGGGTAAAAAATATTTTTGCCGGTAGAATATAATTATATATTAATTTTATGAAAAATGGTCATTAACATTTAATTTTGAGCAGGTTGTGTATCGGTTTTTTTTATCACAATAATATGTAGTAATAAGTATGTGTGTGTGTGTGTGTGTTTGTATGTTGTTACTTCTCCACACTCAAACGGCTAGATCAATTTTGATAAAATTTGAAATGGAGGAAGCTGATACTCTGGATTAACACATATTATCCGTGTGGTGACGGATTAAGAATACAGAGTGTCACCACGCCTATTCATCCCGTGGGTGTCGTAAGAGCCGACTAAGGGAAAAAACTACGCATAACAACAGGAAAACTTGACACAAACCCTATACCAACCCGTCTGGCCAGCGTGGTATAGTAGGCCAAAACCTCCTTTCTAAGGAGAGGCCTATGTCCAGCAGTGGACTGTTAAAAGCTGTTGATGATCCCGAAAAAATCTAAAAAAATCTAGTGTTCCCGTTGGAGGAGTAAGTAATCGAAATACACTTTTTAGTTTCTGATAAATCGCGGGTAACACCCGAGGCGCAGCTTCGTTAAGTGGTGGGTACCCCTCCAATCAGGCATATGAGCAAAAATCTGCTGTAACCCTTATATTCTAAATAACTGTTTTAGAAAGGCGGTACAGCTTTCCTAGGCAGACATATTCAATGTGTCCTTCAATCTAACTTCAGTAGGTTCAAGTAGTCTAAAATGTGTAGCTATATCATTTTATACTAGCTGCCATGACAGGCTTCGTTCTGTCAAAAGATATTGGCTTGTCGCAGTCCAATAGAAAAAGTTAATAAACAGAACGTATTTCAGAATGATCACTTTTCTTCGAACTTTATAGGGTTTTTTCTCTCCATAAGAACCTTCTTTGTGGCGTAACAAAGGCGTGAGGCCAAAAGAACTTCCAATAGATAAAACACTTTAAACCAGAGAGGTTCCTTTCGCGTTTTGGTAGACGTTTGCTATAGTGTCGGAACATATAGTAGTATTGGTATTGCTATTGGTTGTGGGCTCCGGTTTCCGCATTTAGACTCAACAGCGGTCTTTTATGTGACGAGGACAGGTTGGCTAGGTGAGCCAACCAAGCTCCTTCAAGAAGCATCAGGAATTATACTTGCCCGTTGTGTGGCCGTGGGCGGCCGTTTCTTCTACTTTTAGACATCCTCTGCGAAGATTCCTGTCCGTCGCATTAATCGTAAATAGTTGTCGGTTCTGGGCTAGGTGTCATGTTATAGTTCCTACAACTATTCGGATTTGTAGTCTGCTAAGACTGATCAATCTGCAAATGAGTCGTGGTGTGACTTCAGTCAGCACCAGTTTGGTCTGTCTACAGCCGGGTGAGTTTTTCTACCTCCGGTTATGTGCTTCACGAGTCCGTTGCCTGGCCCAGAATCGTAGTTGATTGAACGGTGGTGGCAGGAGTATGGTTGGACCGGTAGCCGGGTTGCCGAGCCCCTCCTTGCTAACTCATCTGCGGCGTCGTTCCGTGTGAGTTACGGTGCCCCTATGAGCATGTTGTTGCCCGGGTTACTGGCAAGCTGCTGCAATGCTTGATGGCATTCGAAGACAACACCAACCAACATACATATAGTAGTATGTTAGACGGGGCAGATGAGCAACGGGTCACCTGATTGAAAGTGATCATCGCCGCCCATGAACGTCTGTTATGTCCTTCCTCAAGAATCAACTATCTCCATATCAAATTTAATCTAAATGGGGTCAGCAGTTATTGATTCCCAATACAAACTTGCACCCTCTTAAAGGAAAATTTCTGGGATAAAACTATCCTATGTCCTTTTTCCCGGGACTCAAACTATATAACAAATTTCATCCAAATCGGTTCAGCGATTTAGTGTGAAAGGTAACAGACAGACAGACACACTTTCGTCCACTGATGGACATAGGCCTCCTCCAAGGCAACCGGTCCTGTGCTGCCCGCATCCAACGGCTTCTCGCGACCTTCACCAGGTTGTCGAAGCATCTTGTAGAGGGCCTACCCATGCTCCGTCATGCGGTACGTGGTCGCCACTCTTGTACTTTTCTACGAGCAATCAGCCCAACAAGCAGGTAGCAAGCTATACTTACAGGTACAAAAAAATAAAAAAATAAATTAAAATAGTATTTTAATACATCACTGTAAAACTGACATTAACGAGCACACAACAAACAGCACATCAATGTTCTACAAAGTTCAAAAGCCAAAATACAAGGTGACCAAACAAATATAGCCAAACAAAACAATACCAAATTAGTATAGTCTCTCCATATCTTCAAAATTGTTAAGCATTGAGGGTAGAAACGCGGACAGATATGATACACCCAAAAACAAGGCAATCTCCGTAAAGTTAGAAGAAAGATATTATTACACCCTTTCATTGCTAATCTGTCTCTTAATGCTCTCCTTCTCTTCCTAATTCTGCTTTGTTTAAGTGTATTACTTCGAGATTGAAATGCTTGATATAAAGGTTGCTCTTGTATTTCATCTGCAATAACTGACATTGTCTTGGAACCTCTGATACTCCTGGCCATTCGCAAAAGTTGTCTCTGCCAGATAATAGAGCACCATTGCATAATATATTTTATAGTTATTCTAGGGTATTTAAGCCTCTGTCTTGTGAATTCATAAGTTCGTTTTGGCTGAGTGATCATTTTAACAACAGTTTTAATTAAAACACTCGTTGTACGTATTCCTATCGCGGTTATTCCGACAAAGAAATCTGTACAACAAACTGTGCCATACGATTCATCTACTTCAGCTACTTCTTTTGCTTCTGCTTTAAGTTTTTTCTGTTCAGCTTGTAATTTTTTCTTTAATTCTCGATTGTATATCTTTCCCAAACGATTTTTCTGGACTTCCTGTTTGGCTAATAGTTTAGCACGTTTTTTCTTCTCTTTTCTTGACCTTGACAACATAATCTTTCGACACAAACAAGACGCCAAAGATGTACGCTTTGTCTTGTCTGCTTGTATTTGACTGTTTGGAATTGCATTCATGCTCGTATTATTTAAGAAATTAAATGAGGGAATTCTTTGTCTTACTACAGAATTTACTTTCTGACACAAAGAACTACAAAACGATTGTTTATTTGCTACAGTGAGTGTATTAGCATCCATACTTCTCGTTCTGGTCGTTTTACTTATTTCTTTGCACAGGCAAGATGATAATGTTTTACGTTTTTTAACTGCTTTTCTTTTTGGGCAGTCTGATGAGCAACTAGGCTTGGTTGCTATATTAATTGGTCTTTTTGAATTGTAAAGCTTAATATTAGCATTATCAATATAGTAATCCACTTTTGGATTTAATCGTGCCTCATTGGGGTTTATATTTTTCGAATGATTTTCAATTACCAAGTAAGGGCCTGCCTTACTTATACAACCACAACTAACTGTGGGTGCAGACACAACTGTGACGGTTTTTTTATAATTGGGTTTCTCAAGTTTCTTCGTATCACTTGAATTGTTGCCACAATTGTACACTTTTGTACATATTTGCGAATGTCCCTTTCTTTTACCAAATTTGTGTTTTTTGGACTGCACAGTTTTGTCTCCACATTTACAAAACAGCATTACACTACCTACGTTAGGGATGTCTGAAGTTTGCAATACATTTTTGACAAAGAAGTTACTATATTTCTTTGTTTCAATATTTGCGTTATCAACACATTTATACCCGTTTTTATAATAACCTTTTTTTGAAAAATTTGAACTTATTCTATTTCTGCAACAATTATTTGTTCCTGCAATTGTATGCCTATTTTTACATGCACATCTAGATGCGGTCTGTGAATTATTGCACATACACTCATTAATTATAGGTGTTACTGCTCTCTTAGATATAAATTTTGAAACAGGTCTGGAGCCAACGTTCTGTGTATCATTGCAAATACATTCATTAATGTTAGACGTGTATCCACAATCCTTTACTTCCCTTAAAGTTCTAAATTTAAAAATAGGTTTAGATGCAATAGTTCTTGGCGTTGATACTGTACATCTGTTTTTGAACGTAGAATATGGATCAATTTTATTTATAGATTTGCATTGTTGTCCTACGCTCGCGAGCTTAGGATTAATTTTTAACTTAGAATTTCTTGCAGATCTACATGGGCAATTTTGTGTTGAGGTTCTTTTATTCACAATATTTTTTCCAAGTTTGTTAGTTTGATCCGATCTAACTATCGTGTTGCAAGTACAGTCATTTGTTTTTACAAAGGGGTGTGAATCTCTTACCCTATGCTTCTTTTGGAGTCGCTTATTTTTAAATAGCAAGTGTCGACACTCACATTGTTTACACGTAGGCTTAGAAACGATCATAGGTCTAGGAATAACAGTGGCCCTATAATTTTCTAGAGTAATCAGGTTATTCTTCAATTTCCACAGTTTTCCTTCAGTATTATTATATTTTTTTAAATAACATTTTTCTAATGGACTTGTGAAGTCAGATTTATTTTTCTCTGACATATATTCGGGTCCCGATTTTGCGTAGCATTTAATTACTTGGTTGTGTTCATATTTATTCCTTCTATTCGTTATTTCATTATATGGTATTACTTTAGCTTCACGTTTAGCAGATATTTTTTTAGGTAAACTGTAAATGCTTTTTGCCTGTCTCTTTGTATTCATACTTGCATCCACAATGTCATAACTTTGTCCATGATTCTCATAATTTTTATAACGTTCTTTTACTGGAAAATATTGTTTAACTTGACCTCTGCATACACAATCTGTTGATGGTCCAGCAGGCATTGAACTTATAAAAGTTTTAGACAATTTGGCAACTTCAACTGGACTTGTACGAGTTTTTAACTGATCTCTAACTTTGTAATTACATTTACATATACTTATTACATTTGGGCCTTTATCTTTAGATATCATTGCAGCAGTATCAATTTTTGAGTTTATAAGTTCTTGCTTCTTGGCTTTATTACTGGTTGGTTTAAAATGTCTTTTAGAATCTTTTTCACATGTACATTTTATTATTGGTCCAGCGGGTATTAGACTTTTCACATGTTTAGACAATTTTGCAACTTCAGTTGAGTTAGAACTAGTTTTGACTCGATCAACACTGTCTTTCAAATAATTTCTTCGTTTTTTGAAATCGTATTTAATAGTAAACTGATCTCTGTCTCTATCCATACATTTACATATACTTATCACATTTGGGGCCTTACGATTCACTGTATCTTTAGATATAATTGCAGTTGTATCAATTTGTGAGTTTATAGGTTCTTGCTTCTTAGCTTTATTACTGTTTAGTTTTAAACGTCTTTTAGAAACTTCTACACATTTACAATCTGTTATTGCTTCAACGGGCATTGAACTTTTAAAAGCATCAGACAATTTCGCAACTATCGTATTTTTATCATCAGGCACGTCTTCTCTTTGTTTCGCCGGTCGATTTTTTCCAATTTTTGAACTATCAGTATAGTCAAATCTTTTAGGTAAATGGTTAGCTTTAAGATTTTGCCGTTTATTTAGGAGCCCTTTTAAATAATTGTTACATTTACAGCGTGCTATGCTAGAAGGCCGTGAATTAATTACAGATTTAGATATTTCGCTTTTCTTTGATTTTGCTTTATAATAGTTTTCAGTGTCCTTAAGCTTTGAACTTTGTGGTGAATCTATGGCAAATTTGTTACTCTTGTGTTGTTTCTTCTTTTTAAATTTATTTATATTTGTGTCTTCGATTTTATCATATTCGTGTTTATCTTTAGACTGGGAGCGTACTGGTAAATTTTTAGCAGCTCTTTGTTTAGCTTCTTGTTGTTTTAGTATATTTTTACCGTTACCTTTTGAAAACATTTGATCCAAGAAATTATGGATCCTTGTTTCTCTTTTCTCGATTATACTATTCACGTTTTGGTCTTTATGGCCAGGTATATTTCTTGAAAGCTTGGCGCATTCGCAATAACTCTTTACGATTGCAGACCTTATAGCTGTTGTAGATTTAGATGGCAATGTGTCTACGTGATTTCCCAAGCTCTTTAGTTGTTTCTTAATGTTGCTTCTTTTTTTATCATGGTTAGTGGAGACCTGCTCTTCAAATCCATGTATATTGATTGCCGGCTTAGGTAAACCTATAGCTGTCTCATTACGCTTTTTCTTTTTTAATTTATTTTTTGATAGAGAATAACCACTCTCTGTATTTGTGCACTCGCAATATCTTACTGAAGCTGAAGACCTATAACCCGACGTGGGACTCGACACTGCAATAATATTGTAACGAATATTTTTTGGTCGTTGTTGTTGATTACGATTATGTTTGATCTCATTCCTATCAATGTCTCCCTTTTCATTTAGTTTTAGATCCTCAATATCAAGTGTTTTCTTTGCTTTATCGTGTACTATACGAGATTTAAGTTGACTTTCTGCATCTCGGCATTTACAGTGGGTGTTTTTATTTATGGATCTTAAACCGCTTACAGATTTAGACAAGGCATCTTTATCAAGTGTATATTCGTCATGTATCCTTGTTTTCCTTCTAATATACTTGGACCATTTGAGTGTTTGTTCTTGGCTATCGTTTGGATTGGAATCATTATTTTTTCTGTGATCATCAGCTGTGACGTTAGATGCAATTGGATCTCTATTATTCGTCATATCATCAATATTATTTTTTGTTTTTACACGTGCTTGTGAAGTTTTAACATTATCTGTTTTATTCTTCACGGTATGTTTAATGGGGATGTATTTACTTGCCTTGTCTTTAGAAACTTTTGGGTTCGATTTTTTTCCTCTATATCTACGACTTTTCTTTGGATAAGAATAAGAAAAAAGTTTTTCTTTTCTTCTGTTTTTGTGTGCTTGCTTTTCAACAACCTTTTTATAGGTATTTTTACTGCTGACGCAAATCTGTTTCATAAAACGATAAATTTCTCTGTATTTTTTCTTCATTTTAGTTGCTACGCGATTATTAGCTACTAAAAGCTTTTCCTTAGCTTGTCTAGTTTCTATTTTACGTTTTAAAGGTGTCACTACAGTTGAAGGCTTGTTATCAACTGTGCGATTAGATAAAGTTGGAGATGTATGCCTACGAGGTTTTTGTCGCTGATTTTTCTTCTGTTTTATCACAGTTGACATATGATCCATATCTTTTACTACACGTGAATCATTAACACTATTACTTTCTATTTTTACATTATGTGCAATGTAGTTATTACTTAGCTTTTTTGAAGGAATGTCTTTGTTAACTATTTCGGGTTTTCGGCTTTTAATCTTAGAGTTCTTGTATTGTCTTTTATCTGTTGTAGCTTTTTTTTTATTGCGTTTTTCTTCTCTTTTATGGCAACGGTCCATAATATTCTTATATGCATTTTTGCTAGTCTCAAAAATTTCTTTTATCACGTTACGAATATTGTCTTGTTGTTTACTCGTTTTAATTATAGGACTTACATGTGAATCTGCCTCTTTTTTTGTAGCTTTTTTGTCATTAATGTATTCACCTTCAGTGAATGTTTGTCTCAGCTTATGCTTCTTTCGAATAGCAATTGATTTTTCTTTACTTGCTTTAATTCCATCAGACTTTCTAAAATATCTTCTACTTGTACTTGTTGAAGTAACTTTGGTAGGTTTAGTTTTTTCATTAAACATTTCACTATGAGGAAAAGCATTAGCTTTGTCGTGTATTATCCCTATATCACCGATATATTTAAGTGCTTGTACTAGTTGATCACATTTACAAATATGAATACGTTTAGGTTTCTTCGCGCTTCTGATTTGGCTTATTTCGTTTTTAGCTTGAGAAGTGATTAGATGATTATAACTTTGTGAACTATGTTTAAGTTTAGAAATATATTCTGTATTTCTAATTAAGTCACATGTACAAACACTCGTCACTTTTTTATCACACACGCAAAGTAAGTCTTTGAAACAACGACAATAACTGGGTGTCTGTTTCTGTGTTTGACTTTTTGAATGCCTGCGTTTTTTACGACTTTTCCTTCTTATGGGACTTGATTGACTCAATTGTGGTTGTAGTTGTATGTGTTGTTTCAATTGACTCTTGCTCTTAGAAGTGACTATAGAACTATCTGAAGGCGCTTTAAGTTTGGTAATATGTTCTGCCTTTCCAAACTTGTCACATTTACAAACACTTTTGAACTTTTTATCACAAACGCAAATAGGCTTGATTGAACAAAGGCAACTGGGTTGCTTTTTCCGTGTTTGACTACTAGAATCAATTAATTTTTGATTAGGTTTTTTGCTCCTTTTCTTTGTTACTGGGACTGATTCGCTTAATTGCATTATATCAGCATGTGGTTGGGTTAGACCTGATGACTTTGACCGTATTCGTGAGTCGCCTATTTGTGTGCGTTGTTTCAATTGACTCTTCCTCTTAGACATAATTATAGAACTGTCTGATGTATTTTTAGGTCTGGAAACATGTCCTGCCTTTGCAAACTTGTCACATATACAAACACTTTTTAACTCTCCGTCACAAACACAAACAATGCTTTTAACGGTTAATTTTTGCTTAGGATTTTTTCTATTTAACTTTCTCATGGGATCTGATTCACTCAATTGGTGTAGATATGTATATGATTGGGTGCTCCGTGATTTTGGTCGTTTATTTGTATCTTTTGCTAGTATACATTTCTTCGTTTGATTGATTCGATTTTTAATTAATATAAGTTTCTGTCTCAGATGTTTAGTTGTTTTCTGTATTATTTTTTTTAATTTGACTTTGTTTGCCTTTTTTTTGATAAACTTTTTAGGAAATTTAATTTTCTTTACGGGGAGTGATTCGGTATCTAACGACTTTGACCGTATTCTTGTATCTCCTGCTTCTTTCTTAAATTCACTCTTGCTCTTAAAGTTTAAAATAGAACTGTCTGAAGTCGTTTTAAGTTTGGTAGTATGTCTTGGTCCAAACTCATCACATGTACAAACATTTTTATTTTTTTTGTCACACACGCAAACCAAGTCTTTCGAACAGAAACACCTGGTTTGCTTTTTTCGTCTTTGACTAGCTAAATCAGTTACTCTTTGACATGTACATACACTTTTCAACTGCTTATCACAAACGCAAGCAAAGTCTTTTGAGCAAAGACATCTGGATTGCTTTTTCCATGTTTGACTATATGCATCGGTTAATTTTTGCTTGGGCTTTTGTCTACTTGACTTTCTTATGGGAACTGATTCACTCAATTGGTGTAGATATGTATATGATTGGGTGCTCCGTGATTTTGGTCGTATATTTGTATCTTTTGCTAGTATACATTTCTTCGTTTGATTGATTCGATTTTTAATTAATATAAGCTTCTGTCGCAGATGTTTAGTTGTTTTCTGTATTATTATTTTTAATTTGACTTTGTTTGCCTTTTTTTTTATAAACTTTTCAGGAAATTTAATTTTCTTTACGGGCAGTGATTCGGTATCTGACGACTTTGACCGTATTCTTGTATCTCCTGCTTCTTTCTTCAATTCATTCTTGCTCTTAAAGTTTAAAATAGAACTGTCTGAAGTCGTGTTAAGTTTGGTAGTATGTCGTGGTCCAAACTCATCACATGTACAAACATTTTTATTTTTTTTGTCACACACGCAAACCAAGTCTTTCGAACAGAAACACCTGGTTTGCTTTTTTCGTCTTTGACTAGCTAAATCAGTTACTCTTTGACATGTACATACACTTTTCAACTGCTTATCACAAACGCAAGCAAAGTCTTTTGAGCAAAGACATCTGGATTGCCTTTTCCATGTTTGACTATATGCATCGGTTAATTTTTGCTTGGGCTTTTGTCTACTTGACTTTCTTATGGGAACTGATTCACTCAATTGGTGTAGATATGTATATGATTGGGTGCTCCGTGATTTTGGTCCTATATGTGTATCTTTTGCTAGTATACATTTCTTCGTTTGATTGATTCGATTTTTAATTAATATAAGTTTTTGGCGCAGATGTTTAGTTGTTTCCTGTAGTATTTTTTTAAATTCAATTACGTTTGCACTTATCTTGTTCATTTTATCAAAACAATTAAATTTATTTATGGGGACTGATTTATGGTGACATTCCTTACACGGACAAACACTTTTTACTTCTTTATCACAAATGAGAAATAAGTGTTTTAAACAAATATAGCTCTGTTGCTTATTCGGTGTCTGATTATCTTCATCAGTATATTTTTGGACTTGACTCTCTTGAAGATTTGACTCTTTTACAGGGAACGTTTCATTCGATTGGAGCAGATTTACATGTGTGGAGGCGCTGCATGATTTTGGACATATTTTTGCATCTTCTACTTGTACGCGTCGCTGTTGTGTTTTGTTCTTTGAAGCGATTATATGATCGTAACTTTTCGAGGTCCTTTTAACTTTGGAAATATATCCTGTCTTTCTAAATCTCTGACATGTACAAACCGGTTTTAACTTTTTATCACACATGCAAAGCAAATCTCTCGTACAAAAACACCTGGGTTGCTTTTTCTGTGTTTGACTACCTGAATCAATTACTATCTGACATCTACAAACACTGTTTAACTTTTTGTCACACACGCAAGAAAAGTCTTTTGAACAAAAACATCTAAGTTTCTTTTTCTGTGTCTGACTACCTGTATCAGTTGCTCTCTGACAAGTACAAACACTTTTTGACTTTTTATCACACACGCAAAGAAAGTCTTTTAAACAAAAACACCTGGGTTGCTTATTGCTTGTTTTTATACCTGAATCAGTTATTATTTGCATAGTTTTTTTTCTACATAACTTTTTTATGTTAGCTGATTTACTCAATTGGGGTAGGTTTACATGTGAGTTTCGTCTATGTGTATTTTTTCTTAGTGTGTGTTTCTTGGGTTTTATCTTTAGGTTTAATACAAGTTTGTGTTGCAGAATTTCATTTGTTTTTCGTATTATTTTTTTAAACTCAATTCCTTTTGCATTTTTCTTCTTCATATTTTTCTCTGGTTTCATATTGATTGAACATAAGTTACAACTGTTAACTGTACATACTCCCATTTTTGATAACGATCCAGGTTGGAAAATGATTTCGGATGATGCTCGCCCATCCATTCTTTCACATTTACAAATATGTCCTTTCGACTTTATGTTACATTCACATAGGTGTTTATAATTTGGTCTTTTACAATAACAATTGATTTTTTTAAATTTCTTATCACATTTACAAACAACATTCTTACTATGTTTAGGGCACACACAAGGTATTTTTCCTATTTTTCTGTCCGTATGTATTTGTGAATCTGTTTGTACTGATTTAATTTGTGTTACTACATTTTGACATTTTTTCTTGGGTTTCAAGTTCTTTAAACTACTTAAGATAGAACTGTATACTGAATATAAAGAAGGAATCTCCGTGTATTGCAAGTTCTTTCTTAACACTTTGATGTTCGTTTCGTCTTCTTTAATTCTTTTCTTACACAGTGCTTTGTATTTACAAGTTATCTTATCAATTGCCCGTTTTTTCTTTTTATTCCGATATTTTCTTGTACAAAAGCATCTCAAAGCTTTTCTAGTTTTTGGAGCAGCACACGGATAAGTTGGACATATATTTTTTATTTGAGAATCGCTCGCTACATTTCTTATAACTTGAATTCGATTAGCTTTCTGTTCATCAGTCTGTGTTGGTGTCACATAATGATTTTTAATCAAATCCGCATGGTCTTCATCTAGTTGTAGGGTCTCTGGTTTAAGCTTTTGACATAAACATGAAACTGATTTCTTTTTCACATCACCAATTTGTACATTTTCCGGGGGACATTCACATTTTTGATTTTTCTGTTTTTTGCTCCGTGTTTCTTGGGATTTTATTAACCTTTTTACTCGAGTCTGTGTCCTTTTTCTTCTTTGTTTTACGAAGCTGCTATCAGGGCGATGCTCACATTGTGCAGTAGCAAATTTTAAAGCGGGTTGAATACTTGGGAACTCACAAGGGGGTTCGATAGGTATATTGTTTTGATATCTACTAGATAAGTAGCTATAATCAAAGAAGTACGAGCTACTGCATCTGACACCGAATTTCATCGTAATAAACGTTCATTTCACTGCACCGCCACTAATGAACTGAAGATCAAAGGGTTACATAGCAGCTACGTTCTTTTAATTTGAATTTCTTAATTTAAACATGATTTTAGACAATACTTTTAATTATTACATTAATAAACATTTCTTTATTATACAAAAAATTTATCAATTTATTTAAAAATATTAAATTTTACTTAACCTAGTGTGTGTTATGACATTTCTTTCGTAAAATGTCATCCTAGTTTTATGTCAAAGACAATTCAATTTACCACGTAATAGAAAAGTTTTATTATAACTCAACTTGAACAATTAACATTGAAATGTTTAATTTTAATGTGTTTAAATAATAATTCGGAAATTAGACCTTTTTTAAACAAGTGCAACTAATGCCAAAAAAAAAATCAATTCATTTGATCCAAATCTAAACGATCCTCACATGGAACAACACTTTGTGTGAGCGACAAACAACAGTTCTGAGTCTGGGTGTTCGTTACGTCTGTTTCGTGTATGTTTGTAAAGTCATAATGCTCGGGCTTATCCTTAAAACAAAAATGTTCTCGAAAATAACTAGGTATTGGGACAGGGTCGCCAATTTAGACATGGAAATTATTGCTACTTTAAAATCATAATCATGTGTTGAAATTATTGTTTTTAGTCACTGCTATTTCTCCTGTGATTGTGAACCGAATGCCATCAAAAACTATCAATTATAATAATAAGTCGCAGTGGATCGCAATGATTTATAGATCATATGATTTATCACGTGTGATTGAAATTCTTTTACCTCCCTAGTTCACATGTGTATATAAACTCGTACATGCTCACTCACAGAACAGTGAATAAACTTCACTGTATGCTCACTATTTAGTAAATACGATGCTAAGTCTTAAAGAAGATCTCTCACTCGGCGATATATCGGCATGCTGCGAGTCCTATATATGTTGGTCGCGGCCTAATCCTTGTAAAGGTATTATATAACAACTATAAAGAAAAATAAAGTGATCACTTATATGTAAAACCCGTTTATTATATTCTTTAATGGTCATTTATGTATTAAAGGATATATAGAAGTGTTAATAAATTTTTTATATATATATACTATTAAAGTAGGTAGTGCATAAGCTTATGATAAAGCTTAGACATTGTTAGGATTTTTTTATTAAATACATATTTATATACAAAATGCATACCTGCTTTCTAAATGGCTTGAGAAAAGGTAAAAGTAACGTAAAGGTAACAGGGAATGAATTATGTGCAATAAGAATACTACCTTCACGGTCACATTTTATTATATATATGAAATAACATGGACAGTGACTAATTTCTAACAAAGTAGAAAATAGAATTCGTTTCAAAAGTGGTGGTTACAGAAGACAGGTGGAAACAAATGTCAAACTATGATGAAAACATACATTTCCAGTGCTGTCTTTATTACAGTAATAATAAATCTTTGAACTTCTTCCTTCTTGTCTATACCCAATTAAAATTAAGAGTCAATCGTAATATACTCGCAATGGGCGATAGCCCTCCTCGGATTGCAGCTGTATAGGCATTCACAAAGCGCATTTGGCAGAAGATATTCTAGCACTGACCGCTATATACTCACACTACTCACAGAACATAGTGATTACATAAGTACTCACTATGTTCTGTGTAAGTACATAAGTACGAGTATGAGTTAGTTAAGAATCTGCACATACGTTATTCATTAATGAAATCCTACATATTTTTACCTGCCCTTAACAAAAGATTATTTACATACACACGGTAATATAATCCATAGTTATCTTCAAAAACTAGATAAAAAAAACTTCCTACAGTTTCATAATAAAAATAAAGAAACAGGATGCATATGATGTCATCTATTCACAGATATCATTTACCAAAGTTCAAGTAAGTATGAATAATTCAATTTAAATCGTGAGACAACGCCCAGTTTAATTGTGTCATATTCAACACTAACCTTAAAATATGTAATGCTACGTTTACGCTTGGTGAGTGTCTACCAACACAAGCGTGTGAATGGGGTGTTTGGCTTGGCTTGCGTGAGCCTGTCGCCGATCCGGACTAGTGACAGTTTTGAACACAGACCAAAAACGCTTGCGGTAAGCGCTGGCGACGTATTTACATGTTGGCACGCGAATGGTGTCTCTTTTTAAATTTTGAATAAAAATATGTCAAGCCAAACGCAATAGCCGACATAAATTCAACGTCCACGAATACTATGTTTGCCGGTCCGGAACACACTAATGCACTCGCAAGTGTGTAAATGGCATCCAAGCGTTTGTAACGCACTGTTTGAAAGCACTTGTTTAAAAGCACATGAAACTCCTGAGAAAGTAAAGACTCCTTTACTTTCTTATGAAGTCTTATGTGATTTTCTCTCTTCCTTCTCTCATGTCTTGCATCAGGGTTGGATCTGGAGCGAATGATCTCTCTTCACCGGTTCCGATACAGCGCATCTCTCACAACCATGTACAAATTGGGGGCAATGGGACTTTTACTTGGTCGGTCCATTTTGCTGGAACATGACCGCGAGATCTTCAACCTTAAGGTTTTTAAACTCCATGATTTTTTTCCAGGAAACTTAGAACTGAATGGGAATTAATTAATTGCGTCTCCAATCACAGGACGGTCACAGAAGTCCGCATGTCCAGCCTCTACGAGCTCCTGTAGTCATCATCATCATCATCATCAACAGCCTTTAATAGTCCACTGCTGGACATAGGCTTCTTCTGTAGTGCGAGTTCCATATCCCATCCAAAACTTATAAAAATTTAATTGGGCTTGTAATTGGCATCTGTGGAGTGCTGGAGTAAGATCTCTCCAATGCTTTATTAATTTAATGGTATAAAAAAGAAATATCTTAAAATATCGATATACGCAACAATTGAAGAAGAGCGGAGCGAGCTGAGGAACAGCGGGGCAATGCGAATTGAGTAACCATTATTGTGTGTAACTGACGGTTTTCATTATCTATTGATATAGTCAGAAGTCCAGGGACCAATCCCTAGAGCCATGGAACTACAGGTAATTAAAATTATTAAATAATTATTACTATCCTGTAATGGGTCGCACCCCCTCCTCCCGGAACTATAAAAAAACGATAAAGATTAAAGAAATTTTCTTATGTCCACCATAACACTCAGAATTAATAATTAATGAATCAATCTAACTTTGCAAATTAAACTTTAATAAGAATTAATTAATTAAATTTTACTTTTTAACGACTAAAGAAATTCTCTTATGTCCACTATAATACTTAGAGGATACTTTCCTGAACCCCCATCTACCTATATTATACATATGTAGGTATGTAAATACCTACTCTATTCATATTAAATGATTAAGTCAAGTCACGACTTCTCCCAGTACTTAACTTTTTACATTCTCGCTATTCCATCAGTAAATCGAAGTTTGAAATTATACTTTAATAACAAAAGTATAATAATCTATTGTAATATTATCAAGGTGAATAGTTTTTGTTTTGTTATTTATATTGGCTAGTCTCTGAGATTAGTCAAAACTTGATTTGACTATCACTCTACAACCCTTGGAAACAGAGCAGTAACCATAAGCACAGGTGTAATTACGAAAAATGACTGGTTTATAATAACATCATTATCATCATCATCGACAGCCTTTACTAGTCCACTGCTGGACATATGCCTCTCCTTAGGAAGGAGGTTTTGGCCTACTATACCACGCTGGCCAGACGGGTTGGTATAGGGTGTATTTCAAATTTTCCTTCTCTCTGCAGTGCTGTTGTCCTGCGTAGTTTGCTTCCTTAGTCGCCTCTTACGACACCCACGGGATGAATAGGGGTGGTGACACTCTGTATTCTTAATCCGTCACCACACGGACGAATAACATTCATATAATAATATTCAGGCACGAATTGCACGTATATATGTCATATAAAACAACACTATCTAGATCAAAGTGCTTGAAATGCTAAAAAAAAACAAGTATTGACCTTTCTTAGGCACTTTTTTTGGAAATACATATTGTTTGAAACCTACAAATGTGTACACGTCAGACAATTTTACTTTGCAGTCAAATGCACTATTATGTCAGTAAATTTGATTATAGAAATATTATATAAAACAAAACTTTTCCATTAAAACATAAAAAAATAACCTGAGAACAAAGTACCAACATAAACAATCAATCGTGACGTAACTCGTAGCGAAGAGTTCAAACGAACTACTGGTTTTTTGCTCGAAGTTTTTAGAAGGCGTTCTAAGAATCACAATACGTTTAAGATCTTGGCATCTTGGTGAACCAATCAGACATCTAAGAGATCCGCAAGGCATATAAATAATGTGCTCAGCACACGGAGACTCGTCGTTAGTGCAGTATTTTTAAAGTAGGAAGTAGAGAAAATGGTACTCAACAGACCCAAGTTACTGAGAAGAAGATATACGTGTTTTGTTTGTTAATAATTAAGAAAATGTGGTCTCATACAAATGGTGTCATATTGCTTGGATTGTTTAGTGTGCTGGCTAGCGGATGTGGTGCGTTTTTTTCTTTTATCGTATTGACCAATCATTTTGTTAGTTATATGGAAATAAACAGATAAGCGATCTAAGTAGGAATTCCTTTAGCCTGTTAAAAGGAGAGTTTAAAGTGTATTAAATTTATTAAAGAGGTTGTATATAGCTTACAAACTTTTTAAGCGGATTTATCACAAAAAGACTGTAGTACTGTTACTCTGAACTCTGCGTATGTGTTACAACAATTTTCTGTACGTTAATGAAATGAAGTTCGGTTCCATTGCGCAACTTCTCTCAATTTAATAAAAAAAATTAGTTTTTCACTTCTTTGAAATGTATACTGGTGAATACAGAAAGTTGGTCATATCATAGTCGTGTTGACAAACATCGCAAGATCGAGGGATTGTTAATGACGACATGATAACAGAAGATGAGTTTAAATGTTACTTTTTTGTTATAATTTGAAAATCATTGCCATTGACATTTGAATAATTATTTTTGTATTAGACAGAGTATCCATTGAGGAAAGTATATAACATGATGATACAACCCTTAGAAGAGGACTTATGACCAATAGAAATTTAGAGTTAGAATTCAGATAATGAGCAAACTTGCGAACATTTTTAGGATCACGAATATCCAATCTGAACGGTACCTGTATTCGGTGCCTTTGCTACGTAGCTGGATGTGACTTTACCAGGGGCTGTAGCGAGGGTTACTGCGGACCATTCTACATATCAAGAGTCTACTGGGTAGACGCCGGTAAGCCGACGTTACCCGATGATGATCCTAGTAGAAAGGAAGGTAAGCTATCAGAAGATTTATTATTTTATAATTTTTAACTTAATATGGGCACCAAATTTTCTCTAAACTCATAGAGAGGGCTCCACTTATACTAATACAAAAAAAAAACAGTCATTTTACATATCGTTGTAAACTTTTCTAAGATGTATATTATAGTTATAAATTTTTTGACCTTTATCGATTCTAGAGGTTGTATACTCAGATTCTCGAAGAACCAAAGTCATTCGTTCCAACCGAAGAGGTCGGTTATGCTGCTGTATCTCTACGGGAAAACAACTCTATACAAAAGCCACACAAACCAGCTGATAAGAATCTCTTGCTCCTATTTACTATAACTTAAGGGAAAATAAGTGTACATTTATTTTTAATTTATTTTGTCCATAGCGTTCGAAGACTGCGCACGAGATTATCACTGTTCAATAAGAATCATAGAAGATTATATGACTAAGTTCGGAAAGGTACTATTTAAAAAAAAACTATTATTTCTTTAGTTATTTTTTAAATAATAAAATTACAAACACAAAAGCACTAAAGATTATCTCAATTTTTTTAATCAATATTGTTTAGTTCTGGACCCATTAATAACGGCATGGCAGTCTGATCTCAAACTAGGCTGAGTCTGTGCTATTGTTACCAGACTGCTGATAAACATACTTAAATATTTCTAAATACATGCATATTTAAGATAAATAATAATAATAACAATCTGTGGAACGGGTTATCGTCTGCGGTATTTCCGGACCGATACGACCTTCAAGCAAAAAGCGTACTCCTTCCTAAAAGGCCGGCAACGCGTTTGTGACTCCTGAGTTGCAGACGTTCATGGTCGGCGATGGTCGCTTTCCATCGAGTAACCCGTCTGCACGTCTGCCCCCTATTAACAAAAAAAAAGATAAATTACACATACACTGAGCACGATTATTTGTGCAGTACAAATAATTGTGGTCATAATTATGTTCAGTACAAATAATCGTGCTCATCACATAATATTTTCCCTGGGTGGGAATCGAACCCACGACCTCCGGCTTAGCTTTATCATAGCGACCTGTCGGGTTGATTTCAGGCACTGAACTGTTATTGTTTCTTATTTGAGTCTTTTCTTCTTTTTCTCTCTAAAAAAACAAGAACTTGTTGTATGTACTTTTGATGTTCGGGAAACTATTTCCCCAAAACTTTCTTGATTTCAAATCCCACTGTTTATATTATTGTAACGCCTCAGGACTGCAACGGTGATGGAGTAACAAACTGCTACGACTTCATGATGATCAACTACCACGGAGGCCGAGCCTGTTCAGCACCTCTGTTCCTGTCGGCGTCTGGTCGAAGATGGCTGGCGCGTTACGAACAGTGTCGATTCTGACAAAACCCATTACAGATTTTTTACGTTTTCTGTTGCCACCTCCAGACATTAGCATGTCACGATCTGATGAAGCAGTGCTATGATCTTGGATTTAGTTTATCGGGCGTCTGCTTTAACGTATGTTGTGTCGATAATTGTGCGTAATTAACACAATATTAAAAGTAAATATCGTCATAGTGTAAATAAACGTAAACTGTTAGTTGACTTGTTCCCTTCTTCACACACAAAATTCATTTTTCTTCTTTGTTCTTGTTTTTTCATTACCTAATTTCTTTTAGGTCTGTAAATGTGTATTTTAATTTAGAGAAATGCCATTGATAGCAAAAAGTTTCAATCAGTTTTATTTGTAATTAAGGTTATATATTATAAGTGACCTAAAATTGTATGTTTTTTTACTCTTTTTAGATATCGTTTACGAAAATAGAATTATATGAATTCAGTATTAAGTTAATTAAGGGAACAATAATATCAATAATAATTATAAAATTATACCTAAGATAGATAAGTAAGATGGCCACAATATTGCTTTACGTTTAAAGCCGGCAATAATGGTTGTTAAAGATTTAATGAATAAATAAATTATAATAAAGATTATTAATATTTTTAGAATCAAAGCCCACCTGATTCGTAGGAAAGCCATGCTACTACACATGGGCCGGCTCGACCAGAAAACCGATGTTAAGTACACTTCGTTGCACTTTACCTAGTGAGGGGCTTAGTGGAAACTCAACCCAATTCTGGGGGGAGGGCATGAAACGTCGACAATGATCTTAAGACCCTTGAGTTGCAGGGGTCTATTGCCGGAAACAGTCACCATCAAGTGACCCGTTTGCTGGTTTGCCCACTATACGATAAAATAATTACTGTTCCTTTGTTACACTTTCATGTTTCATCCACTGAACTGATCATCATGAAATTTTCTATGCACCTGGCCAGGGATAAAGAAACAGAGACAGGGTACCTTTTAAAACATTTACTAGCTGCGCCTCGTGGTGTCATGGCGAAAAAAGTCTGTTTTATTCCAGGGTGTCAGCTACCTCCATGCCAAATTTTATCAGAATAATTCACCATTTAAGCGTAAAGAAGTAACAAACTTACAAACACACACATTCACTCAATTTCGCCTTTGTAATACGAGTATTAGTGTGATTATTAGTATTCTGTGAAAGTTAAGTGTGTTTACAACATCCGCATATTTTTTTTATGAATGAGTGATATTACGGCGCCCCAAATCCTCCCCCAATTCTAGAGGGGCAACTTATAACTCTTGAATTGCATGGGTTTATGGGCTGCAGGAGTCAGGAGTAAGTTACTTTTACATAAAAGTGGCAAGTATCAATACAAGGATGGTAAGAAATAGATTATTTACATTAAATCTGTGGTCATGATAGTGGAAGGGAAGCGATTGAGTGATTTATGTTTTGACTGCTTAAAAGGTCAACATGTCTGTAATAATAATAAATGTAACCTCGCCATTAGCCTACTCGTGACAAGCTGTGCTTGGGACCACTGGTACTATCGTTTATCAATTTATTATTATCTCAAATACCTACTGACATTCGACACTAAACAGAGGCATGGGTACTTGTATTGGTTTATTAATAAAATTATTGGTCGCGTGTAAGATAATGAATTCTATTTTTTATAATGATATTATATCCAAACAAGAGGTAGATACGCCACCAACGCACAAAACGTGTGGGTCCTAATTGGGACTACTGCGAGCGAGCGCACGTACTAATTAATTCGAGAAAAATCATAAAATGCCTTCCTGTGTATTCCGAAACTACTCGTACACAAATTACGACAAGAAGATAAATAAAGATAAAGGAATAACATACCACAGGTGTGTGTTTTGTTCTAAAATGCATTAAGAGATGTATGTATAGCTATGGAACAAACATTTTGTGCGTGCAGTATGAATATAACATATGTATCTTCCTTAAAATATCATTGATTTCTTCACCATACTACGATATTTGAATGCAAATTCTGTCTAGTTATAGGCAGAACTGTGCACTAATATTAGCTATACACATAAAATTTAGCTGGAGCTAGAAACTTGAAATTTATGCAGCTGATGTTTTTTATGTTATTAGCATTCACTAAGAAAGGATTTTTGGATATTTCACTCCTAAGGGGGTAAAATAAGGGAAGAACGGTTATATAGAAGTTCGTCATTTTCAAATTTAGAAACATAAATAAGAAATAATCAGTCAAACGAAGCAGTGGGTCAAGGGAGGAACTCAAATCATAATAACATGTGATAAATCATATGATTTAAAATTTGTATACTCTTACCGGTGATGATTTACAAAAGTACTGATACTTAATTAATATTATTACGCTAGTGCAAACCTCGCGAAAGGTCTAAATCTATCAGAAAAAAAGGTGATAATAAGAAGTTTGGTTGATTTTAATGCCATGACGAATGTCATGACCTATGACGAAATCAATCGTTGTGACCTAAACTAACTAAATATGATTTAAAAGAAGCAATAATTTCCATGTCTAATAATACCTTGTTATGAATTAACTACTAGTTATTGTCGGATACATGTAGGTACACGTTATATATTTAGCTTAGGTAACTAGTTAGTTACTTACTTTGATTGATCTCACTTTAACGTACACATTACTTTATATTTTCTACTCTATTCTCTCTTCACTCTCAAGGTTTGCTGAAAGAAAACTCAACAATGGGTTGAGGCCGTCTTTAAGTCCTTGTACAACGTTAAAGAGAACTATGTAAGTGCAGTATAGGGTCTGGGTTGGCATTTTGAAGAAAGGACCATAGTTTTGAGTCGGCCCGTCCAAACAGACGACATACGGGCCAAAGTCATGCTGTAGCCCAACCGATATAGTCAGGATCAACCACCCGGAACATGACACTACCGCCAGCAGGGCACTTGAGTAGGCCGTGGAAACACTCAATACCACCAGAAAGTTACTAAAATATGAATTAACATTAAAAGCCTACTATCCTACTACTATACTCACAGTTACATACTTACAAAAAATTATACCATAAAATTGAATTTTAACGAAAAAATAAACAAATTGAAAACAAACGAAGTACGAGTTGAAACAAAAAATTAAATGTTCATCACTCAAATGTTTCTCAAATGTGGTAGTGAGCAAATAGGAGAAGCAAACCAGCAGAACGGGTCACCTAATGGTAAGTAACTACCATCACCACTTGCAGCTCAAGAGCGACAATTGCGTTGCTGCTTTTGCGGTTTTATTTAGATAAATATTTATTTAAGGATTTTTCGCGCTTTTGGAAGGAACAGAGTTACCTCACGTAGTCAGGCTTACATCAACGCACTTATACAGGACCATTCTTAATTCTAAATTCGGAAACCTGAGCCCACCACCAATACCAATGTTTATCACTCTTTTATGGTCTTTTTTATTAAAGTAAATGGTTCGACAGTTTATCAGTGCAGTAATATAATTTAATTAAGTACTTGTATCGTAACAGTTACAGAACAATCCATTATATCGTCAACATTGTAATAAATGGCAGTGTCTTCTGACAGTTGCTTTAGTTTATATATTACAGCATTGAATGAATGATGTTGTGTTTTGATAGTTAACCTATGTTTGCCAACCTACTGATACTTAGTATTTATTACAGAATGTGGCAACTTCCACATGTATCGAAATGGTAACATACTTCCGTACATTCTGGCCATCAAGGACTCAGAAACTTTATTTTTGATTACTTTGGCCACAGGGCCAACAGGCCAGTTAGGGTCGTAGATGCGATTCCCACCCAAGACAAATAATCGTGGGATGAGCGACATCATTTGTTCTTTGTCTGGGCGTAATTTATACATAATATGTAGAAATATTTATCAGCACAGGCTCTGCCTACTTTGGGATCAGACTGCCGTGTGTAAGTGTGGAGTTATTATTATTATCTAACTAAGACACACTAAAGTACGGAGAAACTAATAATATAATCTGAATTTACTACCATACTATTATCTAACTATGATGATTGATGATGATGATCCAGATCGGTCCCGTCATTCTTTCTTGTCTGAGCAACAAACCTCCATACTACATCCTCATGAACTTTCACGTTTATAATATTTTATTACGAAGATTATGCTCCAAAACCACCCCGACGACCGGCCCCTGGCACACCAGAGTAGTCTGCGGAGGACCCGGACGCCGCGGCTAACCATCCCCTAGACCAAGAACCTGTGATTGTGTGTGTTTATGTGATTGTGTGTCGAGGTATTCAGCACGAGCACATTGACTATTTAATCAACGGGTCAATCTATATTTGTTCATGCGTGTTTTTGAACCCATAGTTCAAGCTTTGCTTATTTATTGCTTGAAAATAGTTCTAACGTCGCGCGGCGGGCGGCCGTAGTCACAACCATCAAAAACCCTTTGCTCGTTTTGCCCTATTCCATAAAAAAAAACTTCTTCACTAACAAAAGTACCTCTGAAAACCTGTAGTCAGTTACACGCTGATCGGTTGAGTAGTTAAGGCGTAAAAGGATCATAAACAAACAAACAAATGATCTCATTCACATACGAGTATAGAACATTATGCAGGATGCCACACATAAATTGAAGTCGGGCCAAGAACTACTACACGTGCGTAAATATACTAATTTAAACTACTTATAAATACATTCAGATAGTCATTCATTCACTAGCTTCATTCTTATGCCATACTCGCGATCCACTTATAGTATTGCACGACCAGCTTTTGGTCGCGGATTCGCTCGCGTGATGATATTTTATTTTGTGTTTCTAACTTTGAAAATGACAAACTTACATACAACCGTTCATCCCTTATTTTACAACTTTAGGGAAAAAAATCCAAAAATCCTTTCTTAGTAGGTAAACTAGAAATTTTATCCAGTTTGTAGCCCTGTGTGTGTTTAGGCTCCATTGATGAATGCGTCATACAGGGCAAGTTATATGTATAGAAGACTTGCTTCCTATAGTTTTCTTTCAAAGAATTTCACAATCTGTCAGCAAAGCACTAGTAATGTCCCTAACATCGCTTGCGGATTATGCGCTTGTTTACCTCCTTAGTCGCTTGAATCTTGATCGGAGGCCTGGCCTAGCTGCTAACTAATAAACAACACCATTTTCTTAATGTTACGCTGAAGGTGCGCAAGTTCTCAATAACTCTCTGGTGCAGTAGATAAGGTCAGCAACACGTGCTTCAAACTTCTGGTCATTATTATCACCTAAGATATCAGTATCTGAGCTCTAAACTTCTACTCTAAACTAGGCTTCTAGAAATAAATTACATAAAAAATTATAAAATAAAATGTTTTATTCGAAATACTCCAAAATATTCAAAAAATACAGTTTAAAAAGATATTATTTATTATTATAACACGTTCCAAAAAGAATCACGAATTTGATAGATTGCGTTATTGTTTTAACGTTATTAATTTATACCCGACTGCGCCAAAAAACAATTAACAACAATTATTATTATTATTATTATAGGTTATCTTGGTACCTACATGGTATACGGGCATTCGACCAGAGGTAAACGTTGTTCTTTTTGATGCTGTACTAGTAAGTCTTGGCTTCTGTTTGAAATATTTTCTAGTTTCATCCTTTTTAAATCACTTTTTTCTTTCCGTGATCAGATTATAATTTTTGAAACCTAATTTTTTACCTTTTATAGTCAAGACAATAGTATTTAAAATTAGTTGAGAACAACAAGGCGCGAAGCGTTTTATACAAAGATTTACCAAACCTACCATTTTGACTTGACGTTTGACTTGCTTTATATTTTGACAGTTACAATTCAAGTCACCTATCCCAATACCCTGTACGTTTTTGGATGAGAGTCGTCAACAGCCTTATAAATTCTGGTGCATGTCACGTCTTTCGCAATCATTGTTGTCTTCAAGTCCTTAGGACCAAACTCGCGAATGTACGTAACCAAAGAACCATCTGCAGTCTTCTGGACCTTCTTCAAGGTACAACCCTCAAAAGTACACACTGATTTTGCACCAACAGCTTCTGCCTCATCGAACTCTTCACCAACTTTGAACTTCATTTCTGTGGTTTTGAAGACAGAGGATGTTACTAAATTATATTCGTCTCCCTCTTTACGGAGTTCCACTATAGGAGTAACTGCGTTAGCAAGCTTCCGGACCATTAAACCCACTCCCATAACCTTCATGAATTCGTCAAAGTTTTCCGAAGAGATCAGCTTGTATTTTTTGCCAATGAAATCCATTATTGAGATATGAAAAGTTTAAAATTATTTTATTAATTTATCAAAACGGGCGAACCAAGAGAGATCATTACTACTACTAAATTTTTTTACATTTAAATTCAAGTCTGCGCCACTTACTGCGCAGCACACAAAGCCAATACTAATCTGATTAATTTTACAATTGAAATACAAAGCAAGTACCTAATAATAAATAAAATTTAAAATAACTTTATACTAAAGAAGAAGTCTGTGGCAGCAAAATACAATAATAACAATAATGTTAAAATAAATAATACACCACAAATATAATCCAGTAAGATTTGACGTTTAACGTCATGTCAGAAAATTCATTAAAAAATCTATTGCCCTGCCCGAAAACACTGCTCAGAAAAGCTAAAGAAAGGGCACATTTACCGTCCCGAGTGTGAAACCGCAACAAGAGTTCCGGCCATTGCGGAGGAGTCGAGCTCAACTTCAAATGACGAGCTTTTCTCGACGTGCGTCGCTAACGGCACCGGCAGGGGAGAGGCCGGCCACTGACCTGCCTAGGATCCAGAGAACAACTGACCTTGAATAGGGTCCCCCCACTAAAAGTAGTGAGTTCGTAACTGAATATAACATGGCATGGCATGGCATGAAATAGACTAATTCAATAAGTGAAATCTCATACGAATGAATCTGCCTGCATACCATGTTCAATTTGTGTCTTTGTTTCAGGAGCTTGAACTGTTACTGTGTCAGCACAACTGTCGGATCAAGTACAATTTAAACAGCGCTGTAAGTAGATGTATTTACGAAGATGCGCTCTGACGTACGGAATAGCTTGATTATCCCTTCTCCGTCACATACTGTGGGTATAGTGACCAACAGCACACCTTAGTTACATATTGATGAAATTGTGGAAAGAATAGTACATATACATATAATGAACTAGCCAGTACAATGAAAGCATGAGGAGCACTCAGGAGGATCCAATACTGGAATTTCGGTCTGTAAATTGCATTGCATGGATACCCACCGTTTGTCTATTCACAAACAAATTATAGCGCTGATGTATGCACTAGATTTATTATTTATTATTAATAATACTACTACTCGACCCAAACGCTTATAATCCAAATTGCCTAACGATTATAATCTAATTATAACTGATATAGTACCGAGTGTTTTCATTGACAAACCAGCGTGCCGCTCCGGCATCGCACGGGTGCAATGTAGATACTACTAATACATAATGTGGTGTCAGTGTGAAGTAATTAACTATACTATTATTATGATAGGAACATACTACAGGACATCTTTATTTGCAATATTTATAGGCCCGTATCTGACGTATTTAATTGGATAAAGAATAATAATGTAATGCTTACAATAGCTTCGTAAATAACCCATGATTTTTTTTAATATTTAAAAGTTAAAAGTGGTTACTGTGGGTTATCTTTAGGAAGTAGACATATACCACCATGAACTTTTTGTAGATCTTTTTAAGATTTACAATTCTGTAGTACATTATTTTGGTCTATCCCGTAAGGATTAGCCAGTGTTTGCAATGTAAGCGCGCAAAACCATGTTTTTTAAGACAAATTTTGAAATTCTTGGAATTTCTCTACTAAAGTTTGCACGTATTTTACATATAAACCTTCTTGAATTCACTCTCTCTCTATTGGTGAAAACTGCATTAAAATCTGATGCTTAGTTTAAAAGATCTACGTACAACACAAAAAAAGTGACTTTATTTTATACTGTGTAAAGATGTTCATTTAGAAATATACGTGCCCGATTGATGACAGTAGACTTGCCCAATATTACGTGAGTAGGACTGGCATCATAGTCGACAAAATGATGGCGTTTAATGCACTTCAGTCTACTCCTTTGGAGACAAACATATGTGATCTGCTCTTAAACTTTTCAGGGTTATGGAAAAATAGAAGCAATCCTTGAAAATAAAAAGAAAAAGGAGCTGTCACAGCGTTTGGTCGTAACTATATATATTTTTTCGGACTTCTAACACAGCTCCATCTAGTTTCAAACTAAGTAGAGCTTGTACTATGAAAGCTAGATTGACTGATAGAAGACATACATACTTTTTTTGTAAAAATATACATACGGGTATTGTATATAAAAAACACCCAAACAAATATTTGCAGATAATACAAACATTTAGTATGAGCCGGGAATCGAACCCGAGACCTCAGCACAGCAGTCGCATACGCAACCACTGCACCAAGGAGGCAGTCGTCGATCATATCATACTTACCAACTTTTTGGTATATACCATACTTTTATTATAAATGTGAAAGTAAGTTTGTTTGTTTACTACGCTTTTACGGCTAAACCACTGAATCGATTTTAAAAATTCTTTCACAAATGGAAAGCTACATTATTAGCCAGTAACATAGGATACTTTTTACCTCGATAACCGACATACACGTCGTCGAAGCCGCGGGCAAAAGTTCGTGAAAGGATAAAACTGCTCATGCACATGTAGTAGTAGGATAAGGGAGTATAGTTCTCGAGGGTTCAATTAAATCAAAGAGAGCTTAATACGCACACTAAGCAAAATTAACCCTTTTAAAAACCGACAAACACACGACTTCATCTTTGATCGTCTCTACGCTACGTAAGCTACTCTACTGTGTGTGAGTGGTCCGACCTCTTAATAAAATGAGAAAGTCGCTCTATAGCCATTGCTGGTAGGTGTTTCAAACATTAATGACCGCTACCATCATCATCATTTGTATCTGTGGAAGCTTGTTATTGGTTTTTCAACAATTAAATTACTGATGTACTTGTACTGTAGCTGTAAGCTCCCCCAAATAAAATAAAATAAAATCAACAGCCTTTACTAGTTCCACTGCTGGACATAGGCCTCTCCTTATAAAAGAGGTTTTGGCCTACTATACCATGCTGGCCAGACGGGTTCGTATAGGGTTTGTTACAAGTTTTCCTTCTCTTTGCACTGCGAAGTATGCTTCCTTAGTCAGCTCTTACGACACTCACGGTTTGAATAGGGATGGTGATACTTTGTATTCTTAATCCGTCACCACAATGCTCCCATCAAATAGTGTCGTAAAATTAGTTTGTTTAAATAACATAAAAACAGAAATATTTATAAATTTATTTATAAAATACATAACTTCAGTCAAATCATTACTTAACCACTAAATATAGTTTATTATACTATTTTGACATGAGTATTTAACTTGAATATATTAGTATTTTCTACAAATATTTTATAATTTACTATGTATTAGAAAGTAAAGATGGGTAAAGATGGGGTACTTAACAAAATAATTGAAATTTACTTGGAACTGATTCTCTTTTCTATTTTATTTATGGAAGAGAGAGCAGACGGGTCACCTGATAGAAAGCGACTACCGCCGCCCATGAACGACTACAACGCCCTACAACTCAGGAGTCATAAACGCGTTGAAGGCCTTTTAGGAAAGATTACGCTATTTTCTTGAAGGTTTGAAGGTCGTTACGGTCCGGAAATAACGTACCGAATCTATTTGTTTTTTCTTGATTTAGTCTTTACAAAGATAACACTTAATTTGGTATTATGTAGCAAAATATTTTTGAACAGTCACCCGGTTACTTTTTAAAATTGATTATAATTTATATTTACTAAAAAGTACAAATAATTCAAAGTGATAGTCATGTATAATGTAGTTACTAGAAATTCTAAAGATCATATCATACTTATAAAGTGTCTGGAGAAATATTAATTTCTTTTACGTATAGAAACATTGTTTGAGCATTCATTTCATTATCCATTTAAAACAGATACTCACAGTTTTCCATTTAACACAATGTAGTTAAAACTAAGCGTAACGATATTTACATCATTACTACCGCTGGGATATAACTTATTTTATTATAATCTATTTATATACCTACTACCTATTTCATTATTTCTACCAAAACTTATTTCTTCTTTATACATTCAAGCTTTCCTTTCATTGCTATACAATATCATTACAAACATTCAAATAATGTATATCTAATTGCATTTAACTATCCAACTTACAAAAACTTAAAGCTACGTATTAAAAATACGTTAGACAACGATGTATCGAAAAATGTCTAAGAAAACTGATATTTTTATACACTCCAAAATATATGTTTCCAGACAGTATTTTCATCGATTACATCTCTCTCTCTTCTTACCCTTGTAGAAATACAGGCATGAGTTTATGTATATCATAGATACAACTATAATACGCATACCAGGTTGACCCTTATAAAACAGCATTACTTTTTCATGTTGGCACTGTATATGGGGTAGATAGAGGCAGATAAAGATGAAAAAAAGTAGGAAAAGTAAGTATATCCAACTCAAATTTCGACGTATTGGTGAAACACAAAAAATTCCAAAAAAAAACAATTTTTACCTTTCATTTTAAGTTTCATAACGGTATTCTAATAAATTTGTTATTACGGAATGATTTTGCTGTAAGAATAACAGTGACAGTTTGCTTATAATCATGATAATTATGTAGAAATGAATCATTACCTCTTAGTCTGCTTATAGATTGATAAGCGTGTAAAATATTTTTTGTAAATTTAAAGACAAAATGAATGCACATAGGCAATAATTTTTCACATGTATTCGTTTTAAATGACTACTAAAATAGTACTCCTTTTTACAGTTCTTCATTTTTATGAATAATGGTAGATAATAAATCTGTTTTTAAGATAATTCTTAAGATGGGTGTTTGTTATCTCTTTCTACACATGCAACAGCAATACAGCTTAACATATTATAGATAAGTACGTACCTAAACGGATTATTCACGTTAAGAAAATAATGACACATCGTTCAAGCCCCGCACTCTGACCAATCAGTGCCAAGCTTTTGTACGAAACGATTATTTCTTGGAATCTGATTAGTTAGGGTGTCTTGATCGATACGTCACTATTTTCGTATTGCGAATGGACTATAATACGATAACATAATTAACTTAGTACAGAACTATTTAATCTTTAAGCGAAAGTCACCAGTGGAGCAGGCGGGTTCCAGTCCTCCGCTTCAATCTCCTCATCGGACTCTTCTTGGAAGCGTACCTGAAAACAATATAAACTCGATTAAATATTGTTTAATGTCATGGCAAATGAGCCAACGAGGGTACGTTTGGCTGTTAATTGATACCTGCATCTCAAGATAATTCTTTGTGCGAGATCTGACCGGCAAAATATCTCCAGCCAACAGAAGCAATAAGATGATATAATATGAAATGTTGCTCAGTCTCAATCCCTAATCTTAGATACCGAAGAAATTAAGTTGAGATTTGGCATTTTCGTCAATTATAAGATCCAGGTTGGATCAACACCAACTGGTGTCCGTCAGGCGAAGAACTTTTTTAAGTATTTATCTATAAATAGTAAAAATAATGATTCTGAACTTCTCGGGTACTTTCAACAGTGGATTAAAAAAGTCGGCTGTGCGTGTGTTGCAAATGTTATTTTATCTAAAAGTTTCAGGCTCTTACCCATGGAGATAAACGCTTTCCATTCGATCCCACAGAACTGCACTGGTTCAAATTCGCTTGCCAATCCTGAAATCCAAATATGAGTTATATATTAAAGATAGAGTAAAAGTCAAAATTAGACATTTTTTTTTTGTGATCCACTTATGTGACCCACAATTTTCTGTTCTGAGTGTTGGTGTTCTTAGTATCCGTTACATGAATATTTGTAAGGACACAAAATATTTTCCTAGTGCGGCAATTATCTTTAAGAAACTTGTATCAATGAAATCTGACTCATGAAACTACTACAGTTCCTCGAAATAATAGATTATCGTTTCGAACATTATTATCCCTGATCAAATAATTAGAGAAGTTAATAAGTGTGCTGCCTTCCCCTCTCTGATGGTGAGTACAGTATCATGATGGGTTTAAAGTTGTGAGGAGGACGCATGTAATGCAAATGAACGGTTTAAATAGAGACATTCTAAAATATATGCAATAAATTAACATTGTGCCACGCAAGATTAGTAGTTAAATTTATTAATAATAAATTATTTATTGTAACAAAAGGTGCATACAATTCCAGATTCCCAATCAAATGTGAGCTGTATATCGGGAATCAATACCTTATCAAAAAAATCTAATTATACATTTTGTGTGGAACATATATAGAAACATTGAAAAATACGTACATAATAGATTTTGTTAATTTTGCGTGTGTGTGTGTGTGTATGTGTTGTAGTTCGCCTGGTTTTCACTAGATGACGCTAATCTATGTTTTTAAGTTGTTAAATAGACATGTCGCCGGCCCCGGAGAATAAAATGGTAATCGCAAAAACTTAACTTTTCAGGAAAAATAAAAAACCAGTTTTTATCTATAACTGGTCTGATAATAGACTTAGATAATCCAAAAAGGACTCAAATGAAAGCTAATTTTTGAAGCTTTTAAACAATTTCACAAGCCTTTAATTCGATCAATCAAATTCAAGATATTCAAAATTTAAGAAGTTAGTAAAAAGATAAAGTTAGCGTAATTTAGTATTACACACTTATCATTTTGTTCTCGTCATTTTATTTCAAATTGAATATTGTAATATCCTATTACATTGATATTCCATTATTTGACAGCGCTAAATTATGGAAAAATATAGTATCTTACCATTTTATTCTCGTTCATACGGGATATCAATAATGAGACAATAAAACTTAGGGCTATTATTCTGGTTGGGCAAATAAAATAAAGTTATGTTAATCAGATTTTACTTAACTTTAAATGCACAAGAAATTTTTTTAAAAGAAATTAGTCGTCCTGATTTTCATTATCAATAAATCTATGGCTTTCAGAATTACTACTTTCATAAGTCAGAGATTCGTAGAAAGCATGGTAGAAAACTGGGATCGCTTCTGATCTACACAAGCTCATAAGGTCATCGTGTAAAGCCTTACTTGGTGGCAAAGGTTCCCTATAAGCCACATTCAACTGAAAATCACTGACAGAACCTGGTGTAATAGGCGCTGTCTGTTTCATACCTCTCTTGCTTCTAGCTTGTTTGACATTCTTGTTTGACACTGTTTGACATTAAGTTGAGCATACTCAGCATCAAAATCATATTTAAAGCGTAGAATAGATGGCTGTGAATGTAAAACGTTTACTTCCATTACCTTAGACCACATTATTTTCTGACCTTCTTCATTATTGACCCAGTTCTTGTTTTTTATCAAATCCTTTATGTTAAAGAACTCATTTTGTAACATTTCCTTCACAATATATTTCTCGCCGTTGATTTTAGCATTCATAATGATAGCATAAATCTGTTCGGTGTATATACGACCCTGTGTTTTAATTCACGTTCAATACTAGAGTGCATGGAATCGCCTTCACTCTGGCCATGGCCTGTTTCGAAAAATCTATGTGTTATATTTATTTGAAGTTTCTGAGCAGCAAAAATGTATAAAGCAAATATAAATCTGTTTTTGTTTTGTCCTGCACAACCATCTGAGTATAAAAAAATGTTTTTCATACCTCTTTCCTTCCCACTTAAGAAAAATTGCCACAGGCAGCTTCCTATTTCTATTGCTCCTCTTTTTGCAATTGTTTGGTGCCAGACATAGCAGTGACCTTTAAGTCTAGTACTATCAAAAATAGTAAAGTTGTAAATAGGATATTTCCTCTTATATTGAAATATTCCAACTGCAGATTATGGAATATTTAATACCTTCTCTAAATCGAAGATTGCTATGGTTGTATGTGAAAGATCAATGGATTCCTATTCTTCTTTTTTAATTTGACGTACTCGATCTTTGCTTCTTTGGTGTTTGTCATACTTATCTTGCAATGTCGCTTATCGAACAGAATCAGCTTCTCTGTAAAGAGTGCAAGTGGAGCATTGGTCTTTTTTTGGTTTAAAAAATGAATAATTGAACTTGGTGTTAAAAATGTTTTCATATTGCCGTTTAGAAGCTATCGGGCAGTCATAATTTCCCTCTTGGAACCGACTTTGATATAGACGGTACATTTTACTCACATTAAGTAGCTCTGATAGATATTGTCTGGCAGAATCTTTTCTTACATAATGTGACTCGACTACAGGGAACAATTGAATGTGTTGGATGATATTTTCTTCCACTTTTAGAAGCATTTTACGTGGCCTGTTATTATGGTGCCCTCTGTTATCAACTAAGCCTTTGTCAGATTTGACTTTTTCTAACGCCTTATAAACTGTCTGATGCGAAAAACTGAATTTAAAATGAAAGAAATATTTGAAATGGTTGAAGCCATTTTGGAAATATCATGAGTGGCTGCTTTTATGTAATCAGAGTCTCCACCAATACTTGATGGTGTTTTAATAAACCGGTTTGGGCTTGGCACATATTCAGAAACATCTGGAGAAAAGTCTTCATTAACTTCTTTATCGTTATTTTCACAATATTGTTTTTTTTGTTGATTCTGTAAGACAAGATAAGAAAAAAATCATCGAATATCTCATAAAACTACCTCAAACTATGATAGGCCAAACTGGTTCAGCAGGTCAAAAAAGTTACGCTGTAGTTCAAATTTACTTCCTCCACCTGCGGGTTTTTACCTTGACCTGGCGGAGGGGGCTCAGTAGTCGTGAGTTGGAGGATGGCAACTCTTAACCCACGCTGAAGCTAACGGGAATCATAGAAGAAGCTGCTTCCTCGAACTTTCGGTGCAACGTGACGTTCCTAACTGCTAAAAATTAAATGAATACGAGTATACAACACATTTAAGTACCTACCACGTAAACCATATTCATGATGATGCTTCGTTGTTTCTTCTTTATTTGTATTTTCAGGTAGTAAATTATGTGAAAATAATAATATTATTTTAATTTTGCAGACATGATAAAACATATCTCTCAAGTACTCATAGCTCTCAAGCAGGTCATGCAAACATTTGGTCCGACCCGGGAATAGACCCCGATACCTCAGAACAGCAGTCGCATACGCTACTACTGTAAATCCGACGCAGTCAAGTCTCCCCAATACAGAGATTAATTATAAATTTTTAATGAAATCAAAATAATAAGAAGAAAACCACAGTACTTACCGTCGTTGCAATGGTTCAGATCAGCGAGCTTTCTCATAATAATATTAATCCTCGAATTCCTTTGATCCATATTATTATACCTATATTATGACGAGGAAACTGTTTTCAGATTATTATACAGCCAACTTTAAGATAATATTAATTGTCTTAATACAATCACACTTACGCACGATAATTACTTTTATTATCTTGAAATCTTTTGAAAACGGAATTATGATACTCATGCAACGAAGTTTTAAGAGACAGTAATCAAGTAAACAAACATTGGTCCGTGCGAGTATTTACGCGAGATGGTGTATAGTGTCATCACTCTCTAACATTTGAATCACTATGTTCACTAAGGTAATGTTAGTCGCTGCACTTAAAAGCTTTTGAACGAGAATAAAATGATATTGGCGTTTATAATTTTATCGTTGATTTCTTGTACGAGAATATAAGTGTAAAAGCTATTGCTATTTATTGTTTAATGAAACAATTATATCAATAGTGTCTGGTAATCTTATTCGCGTTAATGTGCTCCTCAGAAAATTGGACGAATAATATTGTAATATTTTATAACTTTGTGAATAACGATAGAAAAATTACGAAAAAAATTGAATGGATGTATTGGGCTCTGTAGACTCCAAATATGACATAACACTAAAACTATTGTAATGTCAGTTGTCATTTTATTCTCCGGGGCCGGCGATGTGTATACCTGATATGCATCATTGAAGGCGTGTGCCAGTGACAGGGCTAAAGCCCTAGCATGCTTCCTTCTGTTGCAGACGAAAACGTGCACTATGTGGTTCTCGTTTTGTCCTAGCGTAGGCTTGCCTTCAACCACCGCGAAGACACGAGCGTTGGCTGCATCCGCAGAGCAATATGAAATCCTGAATAGAAATGTGATGATATTAATGGTAAGGTCAACTTAAATGAATAAAAACCGAGATTAAATGGATAGCAGTTTGACCGGATACCGGATAACCGGTTGAAATTATGTTTTGGAGGCGATTGGTGGCGAGACATTAGGGTCATTTAAGCGAAAAATTGGCATTTCTTATCACCGAAAAAACAGGGCGGCCAGCCTTTTAGGAATGCTAATAGTGGGCAAAAATACGGAAAAGTTATATGAAAATTATTTGTAAATAGAAGTGGAATTATATAGAATTAGAGAACCTTTGTTAAGAAATTATTTTGTTGTTTTTCTCAATGATTCGAAGAGGGGGAAGAGGATGGGAATGGTAAAATAGAGTTGAGTTGCAGGTGTCCGTGGACGGAGGTAGTCACTTATCAGAAGACCCATCTGCTCGTTTGCGCTCATGCCATAAAACAGAATTTGACGCGATTGGTAATGTTTTCAGTTAGTAGTTAATTTGAACTAAGACTTAATATATAAATATATAACAATATACATTGACGGAGGTCGATTCCCATTGCTATATTAGGCCTCGCACCATTGTAACTAGGGAAGATGTGTCTATGGTTAATTGTCAATACACTAAGATGCAGCGGAGACAATACATACCTACAGTTTTTATCACTAATATAATGTAGTACAAAAGGAAAATTAATAAAATGTTGTGTTGCACTTATTTACATAAACTTACCTACGGATTATGTCAACAACCTATTAATATAGTTGCATTGTTTGATAATACGAATATAAAATATAATATTCCATATAATAGTTCTGGGCGTGTATGTCTCTGAACTTCAACTAAACCGCTGCGATGGACAGATTCTGTTTTTTTTTTTTTTTGTATTTAGATTCACATTAAGTGGATTCAGTAAGTGGTAGGTTAGGGAGGTATCAAAACAAGTTACTTATCGATGTAATTTGGAATTCTGGATCTTATTGTTTGATAGAATAAATATACCTAGAGCAAACAATAAATTGTAAATGGTTTGAATTTTAACGAATAATTGTAAATTGTAATTAACTTAGATATATTATTATTATTATTCCTGAAAGAGGATCTAATTTCACTTTCGATTCGACTAAAGACATACACCGGGATAGGTTAATCTGTGTTTTTTAACGTTTAGATATTATTTTCTTTTGTACCCTTAACTTGTTTTCGATTATGTCTATCTGCCTTTGGCGTGGTTAACACGTCAAATATTGTATTTCGAGATAATTGCCGTTTTGTACTATTTAATGAGAACAACTCTTTCTCTTGTAGTTTCAAATAACAGCCAAAAACAGAAAAATAATTGTTATGTTTATTTTTTAATGTAAAAATTATGTTTGTCGACCATAGTCGATCGAGGCTTTGAAAAGGTTAATTATAAATTGCAGTACATTTGTGATGTACTTTATGATTATTACGCATGTACTGATGTACCTTTTAGTATGTTTGACCAATTTAAAGTCGGTGCTAAATGAAATTAGAATCGAATAGGAACTTTATGGAAGTACTAAGTCCACCGCGGCGGTTGGTTGCTATTATAATATGAAATACCTGTAAATGGAGACACTGACGACATTTTCCTGGGATTCTGTGTCGATTACTATGATTCCCTTTGAGCTGATGTCCAGGCTCACGCGCTGCAGTTTCTTGTTCGTCACTGCGAAAAAACCCAACAAATAATATTGAGATGACAAGAAATAATCCCAAGATGTCTAAATTGAAGGTGTGGCTTGTCTTATAGCAGTATGTGCGAATATAGCAATCTAAGCAAGTATATGGGACGCCAATCTTTCTGTCAGATAATTAAATATGTACTGATTTCTGACGCAAGTGGAAAACAAGATGAGTTCGATAGGAATCGCAATACTATTTCGGAATCGGAATTCGGAATCGGAAAACACAACCCTCTCCCTGATTCTCAGGAGGAGGGACTCAGAAGGCGACAACGCACTTGTGACTCGAATTGCAGGTTTCCTTGAGCGGCGGTAGTCACTGCCCCCTCTTAAAGTGACACTTCTTTAGAATCGTTGTGATTTGAAACTCGATGAAACGCAAAAGCGTCACGATAAAGATACAAACACATACATGTATAGGATTTAGTTTGCGAGAGAATCAGATAGAATACAGTACAAATTATTTTAAATATAATATTTTGACAATGTGATTTTTTTTATCTTTTTATTTAATACTAGCTGGTACCCGCGACTGCGTTCGCGTATAATTTGAAAAACGCTGCCTAGTGGGTTCGATTCCCGGGCCGGGCAAAATTTTAAAGGGTTTTTCAAAGATAAAAAAAGCAGTGCGGAACCCCTCGGATACCACTCACCAGTGGGGTGATTATGTCGGACTCGAACAGACCAAAAACCGGACGCCGTCTCCAGGTACCAGTAGCCGCTAGAAGGGAAAGCCCTGGTACCCCGACGTACCTCGGACCATCTATAGCGGGTAGATGTCCCCCTCCTAATCACTGCCCCCTATGCCATATGTGACCCATTTGCTCAGTGTGCTATTAAAAAATCTTTAAAGCCATTCCCTTTGTATATTATGATAATGAATTTCTCTTTACGATTTTGCTCTCATGTTCTTGTTGACAGATATTCGAGCGGCAAAATTATCTCACAGACTGTTATAATTACGCTCATAAATCAATGCGTGATTATAAGGCGACCGCAGAACACAAACCTTTGTAACCTCATCTTGTCGTTTCATTCACAGCGTAGCCACTGACTGTTAATAGCATATAGAGAGATAGTTTATCAGTAATACATTGTCAAGTACACTATTTAGTTACCGAAAGTATACGAGTATATCTACAAAAAGTGCCGCCATCCGACGTGAAGAGCCTTGCAGAGTAGAATATATATGTATAGTTCTATATTCTTCAGCAAGAGGTCAGAAAATTTTCGTAAATGTGAGAGCTCGATTAAGAAATAGCCACGATGCTGCCAAAAAATACAGCAAGCGGAATAGAAAATAGTGCTAATCAAACTTATTTCATAAATGGTGAAATTAGACGAACAATAAACAGCACGTTGCAATTTTACATTCATCTAATCTATGGAAAATCTATGGAACTTAAGTTCGATGGATTTATTATACTTAGATAAATTACACCTTAACACAGAACAAATGGTCGTGTTTATCACAAAATTATTTGTCCCTGTGGGAATCGAACCCACAGGATCACTAACCACTACACCAAGGTTATTAGGTTGTAAATTTATTTACTAATATTGACATCCGAAACTTATAAATATAATTAATCCAAATATAAAATAAAATAAATAAAACGCTTACATTTAACAGAATGCAAAGCAGAACGCACAGCGAGTGCAGTCGCAGGCGCCGACGCTGCACGCTCCACGGGCGCTGTACCTGCGTACCTAACGTCCATATCAGCAGCGGTCGACTCACGAGCTTCTCGCCACCAACCTTCACCTTCGCATTCCGCTAAAGCCCATTCCTCACATAATTCTGAAAAAATATAGAGCAAATATTTGGGAGTTGCTTAACGAATGTAAATATCATTATCATGAGAGTATTGCGAGAGAGTGAGTTAAGAAGAATCTACATATGAGTAGTATTAAGTAAAGTAAACATGGCGTCGCTATTTTAGAAGTTGAAATTATGAAAGTTAGATTTAATAAAACCGTTGGAAGTAAAGTACTATTCCTAAACGTAGCCGGTTTCAAAAACATGAAATGATTGAACTAAATGCGTTTAGAATTTCGAAATGCCTTTACAACTTTGATTATTGTCGTATTAATAGTAAGTACTAACAAAAAAAAAACTACTAGCTTCTGCCCCCAGCTCCGACCGCGTAAATATCGGTTATCGCGGTTAAAAGTAGAAATATGTCTTTCCTCAAGAATCACAGTATATTCATAACAAATTTCATCTAAATGGGTTCAGCGGTTATTGATTTCTCATACAAACTTCCACTACCCATTTTCACCCCCTTCATCATCAGCCTATCGCAGTCCACTGCTGGGCATAGGCCTCTCCCATTGCACTCCATTTAGATCACTTTCACCAACGCCACTTTCACCCCCTTAAAGGATGATTTCTGGGATAAAAACTACTACACCATGTCCTTTCCTTGGACACGGACAATCTCTGTACCGAATTTCATCTAAATCGGTTCAGCGGTTTAAGCGTGAAGAGGTAACAGATAAACAGAAACACTTTCGCATTTATAATATTAGTATGAATTTTAACATTATCCGCGCCATTGCATAGAATGGAATATGATATTATGTAAGTTATGATGGTCATATTTAAATTTAAAAAGAATGAAACCTGTACATTTGTTTAAAGTGACGCTGGAACTTCTAGAACACTAATATTTTCGTGTCATTGGTAACAAAATAACGCATTCTTTTATAATTGTATTGTTTGCTCGATATATTCTCACAAAGCTCAACCATTTGGAAACAGTCGGTTAAAGACCGTCGCAGACAGATACGGTGCTAACTATAAAAAAATACAACCTTTAATTAAAGTTGATTGGTAGGAGTAGTTGTAACCGTTGTTTAATTAACAATTTTAAATAAAACTTGAGCAATTTTATGATATAGAGAGATTGAATTTGAACTGGAACGTATAAGATAAAAAAGGCGTACGAATCTGAATTCAATTAAGTCTTCACTTTAAATAGTTTTAAATATCGTTAACATACGTTTATTTATGTATTAGCATGACAGAAAGGAACAATTAAATTAAATCGTTATTATTATCTGCAATCTATAATTTTCTTGCATCAAAAGTAAGTGAATTACATTCCAACAGCAGTCAATGCTGAGGCATTGACATAAAGAAGTGTGGCCATATTTAATATCAGGAATCAAATAAATACGGGCTAACGTGCCCTAGATCTTTAGAAATTACCCCTTAATAGATTCCGCATACAGGGCCAGACAAACAACAAAAGTAACGACTAAAGATACCAATTTGGCCAGAAAGTAAAAGAGAACCAAAAAAGTAACTAAAAGGAACTACTGAAGTGATTTTAATGTGATTTTTTACCTTTAGGCAAAGTGATCATGGTGATTGATATATGACGATAATTGTTAAGACTGTCGGAAAAAAACCACCTGGGACCTTTTAGCTAAAATAAATTCAAACGCGGGTCTCACACCAATAATGAAACGCGCTTTAAGCTAGTGTGGATCGCCAGGAAAACTATATTTGAAAGTGCGCAGAAGTTTTAATATGAAAGGTTATGAAATAGCACTTGCAACTAAACAGAATAACTAAACTTGGCATCCAGGCATTTAACAAATTAAGTGTCCTAAGTCCCGTTTACAATGTACGCAATACATAAATGTAAGGTGAGACATCTTATAAAAAGTATAAAAACAAAGCTTATATTATCTAGTATGACTCAGTAATGAGTGCGTTGTCACCGAGTAGCAATTGATAATTTTGTCGGAGTACCCCGGCGCGGCAATTTCTTAGCCCAGATTAATACGTTTATTTACAAACTCGAAATGTTTCGTAAAAGCTTGTAAATCGATCAGGCAAATTGCGTTGAATTATGATTACAATTAATCAAAGTGTTATTATGTAATGTGTAATATATATTATAAGATTATGAGATATGTTATTATTATTTTTAACTTAGTTTATTATATTTATTAGTACTAATATTCTAACGGTTTTCGATTAGTAACATTTTATAATGTGATAAGTTTAGATGGGGTTTAGAAACAGCAAAATAACGATCCTTTATTCTTTTTAAGTTAATTATAAAGATAAAGAAACCAACACATAAATATATAGGATTAAGTCGGCAAGAGAATGAGCTAGAATATATTACACATTATTTTTAATAAAATATTTTGAGTGTAAATATTTTTATCTTTTTATTTAATACTAGCTGGTGCCTGCAACTTCGTTCGCGTGGAATTTTAAAAATGACGCCTATGGACACCGGCATCTCAAGAGACACAGGTGCGTTTCCGCCCTTTGAGTTTAGCCTTCCCCCTAGATTAGGAAAGGAGTCGTTAGACCTCTGATAATCTGACACGTGGTAAATCAAAGAATGACTTGTTAAACACCGGTTTTAAAGCCGTGGAGTCTGTTTTAACTTTTAAAAAAGCGTGTTCAAAAAGTCCGTGTGGTGACGGATTAAGAATACAGAGTGTCACCACCCCTCTTCATCCCGTGGGTGTCGTAAAAAGCGACTAAGGAAGCAAACTACGCAGGACAGCTACACTGCAGAGAGAAGGCAAACTTGAAACAAACCCTATACCAACCCGTCTTGCTAGCGTGGTATAGTAGGCCAAAACCTCCTTTCTAAGGAGAGGCTTATGTCCAGCAGTGGACTAGTAAAGGCTGTTGATGATAATGAATCGTGGCGACTTACAGAATACGGCATATCGCTTATCTACTACTCCGGAAGCTACACTACAACACAATCTAGTCGACCATTCAACTCCGGCACACCGTCTACATTCCATACTTACAAGTTAAGTTCTACAGTACTATCACCGCTTTCCATAACCGCAACTTTTGCTAAGTGTGCATCGGGTTACCAGAAATTTCATTTCTGGTTACACCTGGTTCCCCGGCTACTGGTACCCAAGACGGCGAGCGGTTTGTAATCGGTTAAAGTCCGACATAAACACCCCACCGATCATCCCGTAGAGGGCTATCCGAGGGGACCTCCGCACGAAAAAAAAACAGTTGTACATCAGGTACATTTTGTCTCGTTTTGCAGGAACAAAGTAATATACGACGCAGCGACTTACTGGTTCCTAGTAATAGATAAATTAATTACTGACGCCTGTTTTCAAATACATATATTTTCGTAAACACAAAAGCAATAATAATAACATAATACTCAACGACAAATCATAAATAAACAGTTTACATAAATAATAACGACGTCATAATAAAATTGGCAAATTTACTACAACTACTGGAACCTAATAAATCTCAATCAACAATCATCAACAGCCTATAACAGTCCACTGCTGAACGTAGGCCTCTCCTTAGAAATAAGGTTTTGGCCTACTATACCAAGCTGACCAGACGGGTTGATATAGGGTTTGTTTCAAGTTTTCCTTCTCTTTGCAGTGCTGTTGTCCTGCGTAGTTTGCTCCCTTAGTCGGCTCTTACGGCACCAAATTTTAATAAAAAATAAAATCAAAAATCAAATTTAACAGTTCATGGTTTACAAAAGGGATGTTTTAAAAATTGTTTATTAGGGTTTATTTTTAGGTCTGAAAAACGTTATAGACCTATTACTACGAGTACAAATGTCCATAATTGATATAATAGACATTCCGAAAATTCAAAATATAATTAACTTTTAAAACAGCTTCATCAACTTCACCTCATATTAAAAATAAGTGTTTGGTTCGTTCTTTAAATTTCCACCCTCTTTAATTTGAATAGACAACGGCAAGGATACCCGCCTACAAAGCGAAAATAAAAAACAACAAACAAACGAAAAAAATTGCACCCGAATTGGGAATGTCCTCCTTTTCTTTAAAATTGACAAAAGGACGGAAAGGTGAACTGACATGACAGAATGATGGACAGATGGCTGAAGTGTCACCTACGCTTTATTATAATTATTTGTAGAACAATGTTAAGCACATCCATTTTAATTGAAAACAAAGTTAACCATGTGTACCTATAATCTTTCTCTAACGGAAGAAGGTTAAAAAGTATAATTTCAAATTCTGTATCTGGAAAATTAGATTCTGGAAATTCTACACAGCTGTATTATTCTGTAAAGATGGTGGACTAAGCACCCGGATGGTTAGCAAATCTACCTAGCTGGATTTCTTTTTGTACATAGTCGGGAGGGATAAAGGAGGATGGCATTTATCATAACACGAGTGCAATTAAAGAGCTATTTTAAACATATCAGTGTTCATCTAGGCCAGACGGACTACATCGATAGTGGATGTAGGCCAGAGGTCAGTTATTAGTCGCAATAAGTTGAACGAAACTCCGATGTGCGTATGACTATTTGATAAAATATAATGATGCGTTTCTGCTACTAGTTTCGACCGGTTCGTAGTGCGATCTAGATGCGTATCTAGGGTTGCTACGTTAACTAATTTCTTCTGAATTAACCCTATATTTATTTTTAACTAAATATGAACTAAACATATTATGTCCTACTAACGATACACTCCGTCCGTGGGTACGTGTGGTGACGGATTAAGAATACAGAGTGTCACCACCCCTATTCATTCCGCGGGTGTCGTAAGAGGCGACTAAGGGCGAAAACTACGCAGAACAACAACACTGCAAAGAGAAGGAAAACTTGACACAAACCCTATACCAACCCGTCTGGCCAGCGTGGTATAGTAGGCCAAAACCTCCTTTCTAGGGAGAGGCTTATGTCCAGCAGTGGACTACTAAAGGCTGTTGATGAACGATACACTCTCAGCAGTTTAAAGTTTTTTTATGGTATTTTATGCCAAAGACAAACAAGGCGGCTTGTCGCTGATGGTAAGTGGCTACCACTGCTCATGGACACTTGCAGTTCAAGACACAAGTTGTGCCTCCCGTAACTGGAGGAGAGCCATGCTACAGCAAGTATGGTTCAAGCCGGCTCATACGCCCGTAGTGTGGCTCTCCCACGGAAAATGATTTGCGGAATCTGAATAATAGCACTAGAGCCAATGATATATAATACAAACAAGAGGTAGATACGCCACCAACGCACAAAATGCGAGGGTCCTAATTAGGACCACTGCGAGCGAGCGCAAGTACTAATTAATTCGAGAAAATTCATAAAATGCCTTCCTGTGTATTCTGATATGCACAAATTACGACAAAAAGTTAAATAAAAAAAAAAGGAATATCATACCACAGGTGAGTGTATGTTTTGTTCTAAAATGCATTAACAGATATACGTATGTAAATATTTTGTGCGTACAGTATGAACATAACGCATATCATATCTTCCTTAAAATGTTATTGACTAGAGTAAATGAAAATTGTTTTCTTCTAGTAAAGTAGGTATTAATTTATTACCGTTTTTACAATTGTTGGCCTTTCGTAACAAGCCAACTTCGGTCAAAATTTAATTTTTCTATATGTCAACCCTAGGTGAAATGAATTTACTATGGTATTGTTAAATGAATGAGTATATCAATGCAGTTGTAATGTTAGGCTATCATTATCGGTAGTGTTTGCCTTTCACAGCTGCAGAGATCTGGTTCCCTACCGAGTCAGATATCGCTCCAATAGGTCAGACAATGGACGTGACAGGACGTCGATGCCGTTCCGCCCCGTCTGCTGATTGACCCGACCTTAAAGGATTCTGATATTTATGTCTAATATTTACTATTCTCGCACAATTATAGTAACAAGCATTCGCTTTTCAAAATGATTTCTGGAATTAATAAACTGACCAAGATCTTATCGTTATCTCATTAATTGGTCAAGAACGAAGAAATATTCTTTACTGTTTCCGAAAGTGTACTTGTAACGATTTTTTATCCCAAATCTTATTTCATACAAGAAAAATGTTATTTCATACAAACTCTATCCTTTGTTCTTCTCCAAGTCCAATTAAGCAATACTATTCTAATTGATACAAAAAGTACCCCAAAATATGTCTAGAAATTTGGGCATTTGCAGTATTAGTAAGGATTTGGATAATCACTTGGAAAATGAAATCTTCCAAGTCTTCTCTAAAGCTACAAAAGACTGTTAAGCATGCATTTAGCCTGTAGTTAACAGAAGTGCATATATGTACTTAGGTTACAATGGTTACCATTTAAAAACGCTGTAAAAGTAATCAATCGCCTTTCTAACCAACTTTCTCGTTTAGTTTTTGCGCAGGACAGTTTATAAGTGCAACGTTTTAGCGAGAATGCAGTCCCAACCGCTAGCTTGTTCTTTACTCGATGTCAGTCTGTCATCTAATTAATAATTTATCATTTATATAGTAACAAAGATTGCGGTACATTTTTACCATTTTCTAGAACAAGATAAAAACATATTGGTCAAGGTTGAGACGTGGAATGTGTACTTCCTGATCGTGTATATTATCAGTGTTTATGTGTATATGAA